AGGCAGAGCCTTATAGAACCATGCAGTGGTCAGCTGTCGACTCTTCCCTTTTGATGTCTCTCCTTGACTTTCAACAGGACTGAATGGCCCATCTCTATTTTGGAAAGAAGAAAAAGAAAAACTGTGTATAAAAGGCGCTTGTAGAGTATTAAAGATTGTGTAGAAAATGCTGCAACACTCTTGTGGGGGTCCCTCACACCCACCTCAAATATAAGAACTACAAGAAAGGTGGAAAAGCCAAAGGCAGTTCACCTGTATGAGTGGAGCATATAGTGATAGTGGTGGACACCTACCCAATAACAAGGGTCATCTGGTCCTAATGTTGTAACAATATCACTTTCAATTCAGCGTATATACAATAAAAAGAGAAACATATACAGAATAAACAATAGTGTAAATCTGTATTATAATAATTTGTTATGCAGTAATCATGAGAAGTACCAACTCACATATTTTAGAGCCTAAGTGAGGATAGGCTCAGGTCACTTGCGCTGTAGTACCGTCTGGTGGTACTGTCCCCCTTCTTTTGAACACGTAGATGAAATCCCTCAGAGGTAGAATTTGCAGGGAAAACGTGATAAGAGGAGATATAGTGTAGTAACTTTAAATAAAGGTGAATATGCTATATCTTTAAATAAGTGCTCACCTCAAAAGAGCCGTGTGCGCATTCAAACTGCCCATAGGAAAGCTTTACTCAATGCCAGGCCCGGACTGGCCATCGGGCACACCGGGCAAATGCCCGGTGGGCCGCGGTGGCCGTGGGGCCGAGGCCGGCAGGGGAGGTCCCAGGATCTCCCCTGCCGGTCTTTGCAGGGCCGGCACTCTTCCAGCGCCGGCCCCGCTGTTTGCCACGACGGGCCGGTGGGGAGATCAAAGCTCTCCCTCACCGGCCCACATGCGGCCGCCGGCGGGGAGGGAGGGAGACAGCCAGCCAGGCTGGAGAGAGGACCCGGCGGAGCTCTAACTTGCAGCTCCGCCGGGTTCCTCTCGCGAGATCCGGCGCGTTGCCATGGCAATGACCGGATCTCGCGAGAGTGAACTCTAGCCTCACAGGCTAGAGTTCACTCACCCACGAGGACCACCAGGGAACACTGCCTCCCCGCCTGCCATTCCCAGCGTGCCGGTCCCCCCCCTCCAAGGCTAAAGGTAAGAAGGGAGGGGGGGGGGACATAGTGTCTGTTTTTTTTAATTTTTTTTTATTTACCCCCCCCTACACACACACACAATAACATTTATACAGCACTCTCACACCCATCACACACAGCACTGTCACACCCATCACACACAGCACTCTCACACCCTGCACTCTCACACCCATCACACACAGCACTCTCACACCCATCACACACAGCACTCTCTCACACAGCACTCACACCCATCACACACAGCACTCTCACCCATCACACACATCACTCTCACCCATCACACACAGCACTCTCTCACACATTACACACAGCACTCTCTCACACATTACACACAGCACTCTCTCACCCATCACACACAGCACTCTCACACCCATCACACACAGCACTCTCTCACACAACACTCTCGCACCCATCACACTCTCAGCACTCTCACAGCACTCTCACACACACAGCACTTTCACACACACAGCACTCTCTCACAGCACCCTCACACCCATCACACTCACAGCACTCTCACAGAGCACTCTCTCACAGAGCCCTCTCTCACACAGCAAGCTCACACCGCACTCTCACACGGCACTTTCACACCCATCACTCACACCGCACCCCTCACACACACACCGCACCCTCACATACACACAGAACCCCCCCAACACACTGCACCACACACATACTTTCAAATATATATATATATATATATATACACACACTACACTCTTAAAGGACCACTCTAGCCACCCAGACCACTTCAGCTTAATGAAGTGGTCTTGGTGCCAGGTCCTTCTAGGGTTAACCCATTGTTTTATAAACATAGCAGTTCCAGAGAAACTGCTATGTTTATCAATGGGTTAAGCCTTCCCCCAAAGCCTCTAGCAGCTGTCTCATTGACAGCCGCTAGAGGCGCTTGCGTGCTTTTCACTGTGAAAATCACAGTGAGAGCACACAAGCGTCCATAGGAAAGCATTATAAATGCTTTCCTATGCGACCGGCTGAATGCGTGCGCAGCTCGTGCCGCGCGTGCGCATTCAGCCGACGTGGCGGATCGGAGGAGAGCTCCCCGCCCGGCGCTGGAAAAAGGTAAGTTTTAACCCCTTTCCAGAGCCGGGCGGGAGGGGGTCCCTGAGCCACATATGCATCACATTACACCACAAACACAACACGACTAAAATCGACCTTATTACACAATACCACACCACGACCAGCTCACTCTACACACACGCAATACCACAAGCAGGCTCCAAACACATGCACAATACTCTTTCCTGGCCTTTTGTCTCCTGGTATCCATTTATAGAGACACCAGAGACAAGCAAGGAAACACAGTGCAAGCATGTTATTAAATTTGCTTGCACTGTGCAGAACAAATACAGGACTTTTTTCTCATGCTAGAGCTCTTCAGCAGAGCTCTGCGCATGGTCTGCCCTGGAAGAGCATTGAACCAACATGCTCACTTTGAGAGGAGGCGTGTTTGTCATTGGTGATGACAAAACACACCTCCTCTGCCCCGCCCCCTTTTTAGTGGGCCGCTGTGTTAAAAAAATGCCCGGGCCGAATTTTTCTCCCAGTCCGGCCCTGCTCAATGCTTTCCTTTGGACGTCCAGCGTCTTTTCACGGTGAATTTTACAGTGAGAATTGCGGAAGCTCATCTAGCGGCTCTCAGTGAGACAGCCACTAGAGGCTGGATTAACCCTCAGTGAAACATATGTTTTCAGCTGCAGGGTTAAAACTAGAGGGACCTGGCACCCAGACCACTTCATCGAGCTGATCCTTAGAAATAGCATAGGAAAGGGATTTGGGTTCAAAAGATGTAGCAGCTAGGGCAGAGGTTTTGTAGAAGGGTCCCAGGGCTGGGGTTTTGTATAAATGAGCCAGTTTTGTAGAAGAGGGAAGACCAGTGCTTTTGTAGAAAGGGGCTGTGAGAAACCTCTAGAAAACTCCTACCCTGCCACTTTCTACAAAGCCCCTGGTCTCGCCCCTTCTAGAAAACCCCTGCCCTTCGCCCTTCATATAAAAACCCTGCACACTGATCACATAAATTTCATACACTCCCTACACATAAAAAACCCTGCACCCTGATCACATAAATGCCATACACTCAATACAAATAAAAATCCTGCACACCCCCCTTAATTACAAAAAAAACCTGCACACCCCCTTTAATAAAAAAAACATGCACAACCCCCTTAATAAAAAAAACCTGCACAACCCCCCTTAATAAAAAAACCTGCACACTCCCCTTAATAAAAACCCCGCACCTCAATCACATAAATTTCATACACTCCCTACACATAAAACCCTGCACACCCCCCTAATTAAAAAAAAAGCTGCACACACCCCTTAATAAAAAACAAAAACCTGCACAACCCCCCTTAATAAAAAAACATGAACAACCCTCTTAATAAAAAAATCCCTGCACACCCCCTTAATAAAAAAACAAAACCCTGCACACCCCCTTAATAAAAAACTAAAATCTGCAGTGCACAGCCTCCCTTAATAAATAAAATACTGCAACCCCCTTAATAAAAAAAAAAAAACCTGCACCCCCTTTAATTAAACCTACCCCCCTTAAATAAACCTCCCCTGCGCTGCACCCCCCTTTAATTAATCCACCCTCCTTAATTAATCCACACTCCCACTTTAATTAATTCACCCTCTTTAATTAAACCTCCTCCTTTAATTAATCCACCCCTCTTTAATTAAACCTCCACCCCCCTTTAATTCTTTAATTAATCCCCCCTTTAATTCTTTAATTAATCCACCCCCTCTTTAATTAATCCACACCCCCCTTTAAATAATACACCCCCCTTTTTCTTAAACCTCCCCCCTTTAATTCTTTAATCAACTCCTCTCTAATTAATCCACCCCTCCTTTAATTAATCCACCCCCTCTTTAATTAATCCACACCCCCCTCTTTAATTAATCCACCCCCTTTAATTAATCCACCCACCTTTATAAATCTCCCCTTTAATTCTTTAATTAATCCATCCCTTTTAATTAATCCACCCCTCTCATCCATCCTCTAATTAATCCACCCCCCTTTAATTAATCCACACCCCCTTTAATTAATCCACCCCTCTAATTAATCCCCCTCTTTAATTAATCCCCCTCTTTAATTAATCCACCCCACACACCCCCTTTAATTAATCCACCCCTCTTTAATTAATCCACCCCTTGATTAAACCTCCCTTTTTAATTCTTTTTAATTAATCCATCCCCCCTTTAATTAATTCAGCCCCTGACATAAAATAACTACTTACATTTTGATTTCCACGAATTGTACACGAATGGCGTTCGGGAGTTTCAATCTACCGAACGAGGGGAGCACTCTCATGTAACCAGCTACAGCTACATTACATCTATGGGGGTTTTCGTGTAATTTTCATCTGAACGGAGACCGGCTCGCACCACTGATTTCATTAAGCCTTGGCTCATGTGTGGATTATTCGTCGATACCAGCGATTTATTACTCTGTGGATTACTTCGCGATTTTATTTTATGGGAAGAAGGCAATGCCTGACGGAGTAAAGGATGTACCGTCACAGCCACTAGAGGCTGGATTAACCCTGCAGTGTAAACATAGCAGTTTCTTTGAAACTGCTATGTTTTCAGCTGCAGGGTTAAAACTAGAGGGACATGGCACCCAGACCACTTCATTGAGCTGAGTGCCTATAGTGGTCCTTTAAAGAAACATGTATGAAAAACAATATGTTCGATTTCTAACACCTTGTCAGTTTGCAATATCCATTTTTCTAATTTTGGATTTCCTCCAGGAGAATCTGGACACAGGACTATAGTACACTGAAAGTCCAGGTATCCACTATCTGAGCTCTATATTGGTTAATTTAAAGCTGTAATTTACATCAGAACTCCTCTATAAAGTTGTCTCCACCAGGTGATCTACCTTAAGTGTTGCAGGCCATGACTGAAGCTCCTTTTGAGCCCCTGGAAGAGATTAGTTTCCAAGCACTTTCACCACCATAAGGCTGTACTGGAAGTTTTAACTCAGTTCCCTTAATAGCAAGATGTTATTCTACCATCCATTCTTCCTAATCCATTTTTTTTTTTATGAAAGAAGATGGAGCATAATGAATGTCATGAGGTGCATCCATGTATATTTGGAACCATCAGCAGCAATAAGGAACTCTAACACACTATAAGTGGGAGAAGCAGCTTCTACTGCTACCTTAAAGGGTTAACAGGTCCCCCCCTTCAGCCACTTACCTTAATCAAGCACCTGGTGACCTATCCTTCTCCTGCAGACATCAGCTCCGAGTGGAGTCAAATGAGCATGTACGCCCAGAGGCGCACGTGCATTCAAACCCGCCCGTAGGAAAGCATTACTCAAAGTCTAGGGAGACTGCCACTACAGGCTGTAGGGTTAAACTAGGGGGACCTGGCACTCAGACAACTTCATTGAGCTGAAGTGGTCAGGGTGCCTATAGTCGTCCTTTAAGGAGATGGATAGTAGTAGAAATTGCGAAGGCTTATTCGCCACAGGGTCATCAAGCTCCTATTAAAATTAAAGCTCACTCTACAAAGAGTTTAGCACCTTCTTGGGCTTCGAACAACAAAGTATATATACAAAGCAAGCCTTTTCTGGTCATCCCATTGGATTTTTATTAAGCATGACAAACTTAATTTAGCTTCTACATCTTCTCATTTTGAACAGTGTTTTAGCTTATGTTGCCTTAAACAAATTAATTCTAAGTAGTTAAAATTTTGAGTTTTGTATTTTTTTACCCTCACCCTTCATTGAAGATATTTATTTCTAGCATTTATAAAGCACCAACTTATTCTGCAGTGCTGTACAATAGGGAAAAAGACAACCCAAAAGGACCAATTTTTTTTTTTTTAATTATATATATATATTTTTAAAGCAGAGGACCCTGCATCTGAGCTTACAAGCTAAAGGTTAAAACAGCGAGATGAGACAAGGGGAATTTGGAGGTGATGACAGAGAGAATAGTATGATTGCAGTAACTGATAACAAGTGGAGGGAATGAGGAAGTGATTAGCTGATTCCAAAACGCTGGAAGAGCATGCAATATAGTTAGAAGGAACTGGGGGAGAGTTGGGTGTGTATAGTGCTTTGTAGAAATTAAGTGGCTTTGTTGGAAATGGATGTGAAATTGGCCTAAGAAACAGAGATAGTTAGTTGAAGGAATTTACTACTGGGAGTGACATATGTGGGGTGGGTGGGGTGGGGTATGGTAGAGCAGAGTAGTCATTTGATGTATACAGTTGACTTGTTCCAACCAAATCACATCGGCCAAAATACTGATAACATGTAACTAATAGCACAAATATTACAATAGTATACTATAGGTAAAACTATATATAGTTATAGTAAATACATCCTGTGGAGTATCTTCTGAATTTCAACCCATAACTTAAAGTTGCAATCTTGAAATTAAGTGGCTTTGTTGATGCTAGATGTGAAAGTGGGTCTTAAAGCAAGAGTATTACCCATAAGCAGCCATCTTTAGGCTGGAAATATGAACATTTCATTACCTAATGCAACTTTCATTTCCTGGCTATATTACATTGGAGCATAATGCTCCCTCCCTTATGGGATTTTTCTAGTCCATTGTAAAAAAACTGGGGGAGGGAGGAATTATAGATCCAGTCCTGACAACTGGTGAGGAGCTCAAGACAAGTGATGTTGCCACGTAACAGCCAAGAAAAGAGAGTGTGTGTGTGTGTGTATGTATATATATTATATATATATTTTTTTTTATTGCAGGGATATTAGTGAGATTTAACATGACAGGATTAGCAAATCCCAAGATTAGTTTGTTAAAACTGTTGGAATATCAAGTGTATGTTCACCTCCCATCCCTTCACAACATCATCTCTATTCCCATGTTCCCTCATTAAATTATAAAATATCCCTGTAAATCCTGACACATACTTACACTCCACACTGGTCAACAGACCAGACTCGTGTGAGATCAGGTAGCAGAAAGCTGTGCTTTCACTAGGATAGCCCAGACCTAAAATCAAGGATATAAAAATATATTGGAAGTTGAAACCGCACCTACCTCCACAGGGTGCACAGGAACCTGGTTCCATCTCCACTTACCTTATAAGCTACAGAGAATGTATCCCAGCATGTTCTTTTTAGAAGTGTCTTTACGAAGGTGTCTACAGAGTAAAAAGTAGCAATGTGCTAAAAGTAGGGATACCACCACAACAGTGTTGTGAAAAACAGCAATCTGCACTGCAACTGGCAGAAGTTTTGTACATGTGTTAAATAATTGAAAATCTAAAAAAAGATCCTAGTGCATGAACCAGAGCCCCAGTAAAGTAACAGGAACACTTTAGAACTAGGAATACAAATATGCATTCTTAACTCCAACATGTTCCTTAGCCCCCCACCAATATTTTAAAGTGTTAAATAACCCTTTAATCACCAACCCAATTATGGTCTACTTCCACCAATATCTGATTTTGGAAGCGGGGTGGACTTTGTGCAGATGACGCGCTGCAGCCTTCTCCATGGGAAAGAATTGCCTCGATGCTTTCCTATGGCGTTTTCTCCGATGCTGAACGTCCCAGTTTCCATTTCGTAGGATCAAAGCTTGTGCAACTCCATGAAGCAAGCACCACTAGAGGCAGTCTAAGTCCTGCAATGTAATCATTGCAATTTCTCAAAAGCTGCAGTGATTTACATTGCAGGATTAAGGGTGATAGGAACACTGCACCCATACCACTTTAACGAGAAAGTGGTCTGAGTGACTAGAGTACCTTTAAGCTCACTAAAGTTATGGTGGATTGAATCCTTGTGTGCCTTCATACCCTTCAATAATTATCTTTTGAAAACTATGTAACCTTGAATTGCCGCCCCCATCAACACTTCCTACTTAGTCATCCTCCTGCCCTTCTAGAGATCCAGAAATATTTGTTCTTGGTCAAACACTGCTTTGTCAGTTGATGCTTTCCAGCCATTGTGTCAAACAGTGTCCAAGGCAAACATTCTGGATCAATTATATGTCAGATGAAATGGACATAAAGTGCATTGCAGCACCCGGTGTTTCCATCCATGTGACATTACAGATTTGTAGTTCTGATGGTTTTAATAAGCCAAGTGCTTATTGAAAATTAACTGCACAGAGCACCTTCAATTCGGGCACAAAGTAAACTGTTTACCAAAGCATAACTAAGCCCTCTTATTGGTAAAACATACATAATCACTTAAGTATTTTGTATTGCACACCATACATTTGCCAAGTTACCAATACAACAAAAAAAAATAAGATTTGCCAAAGGTCCTCAATGCTTCTCTAATGATTGTACCAACGCTGGAGGAAGTCATGCCTTCTGTGGCCCCACATAAGAATGAAAGGCATGTTTAATGTCACCGTCCCCCCCCCCATTTTATTTTTAAGCCAGAAAGTGGCCAATTTGTTAGCACAGTTGGTCATCTCCACTCTTTCTGTATTCCATTTTTACCATGTGTAAAGTCCGGAAATAAAATGAGTGGCAACAGGTACCAATAGTTACATTTGATTATTTGCAACTTTGTTTATTCATTCTAACCACAATGCATTTTTCTAGCTGATGTCTAGCAGATGCATCTGATACTTAATTTCTTGAACCTCAAAGAAAACACAACTAAAATGCACTATTTTTCAGAGGGAAGATGTTTATAAATAAAAAATGTCAGATTCCGCAGAATTTAGATGAACAGTTTTTATGAGTTGTCACTGAATGAATTAAGACCTGTAATCTGTATACAAAACATTAAACAAAATGCATGAAAATTTGAAATATCCACATCGGTTGTGCCTCTACAAAATGAAAATTTTGTCCAAATTTCGTTCACTCCGCAAAACGAGTCAATAACATTTTTATCAAGCCCTTTGAAGCATATAAAGTAAGTATAGTTCTCCTTTTAAAACCAGATTCCTTCCCCAAAAAGGGAATTTCTGAAACAGCAGTTGGGACATTCGACTTCTGTTTATTTGTAATAATTTGTCAAGACTGGAATGAGATAAATAGAAGGCACAATAATTTTGCTCTCTTTTGAAGTTTTTTTTTTGTTTTTTTACAAATAAACTAAAAACAAGGAAATATTCCCAATAAAAGGAAACAAAAAATTTAAAAATTCACAATTCAAATCTTGAGTCATGTAGCTAGACATTTAAAACTTATCCCAAAATCCAAAATTTGAGTGGTAAAACAGTAGTTTCATATTTTAACTCCAACAGCGCTGTACAAAATGTGTTAGTACAGAAATTCCAATGAACACCTTTTGTTTGCAGTAAAACAGCCAGGATGGAGGAGTTTTTGTAGCTACTTTGTCAACTCTACTCACAGCAATGGATAAACAAACAAAACCTGAATATTTCGCCTAGGAATCTAGGCCTCCCTAAGCAGGGTAGTAATTTGTGTGAACAGCAATCCGTCAAACATCCCATCGGATCTTTTAAGAGTATCTTTCATGATGGTGTTTATTAGTTCCATTCCTTTTAATTCCTGAAAGCAGGGGTGTTTTTTTTTTTTTTTTGAAGCATCCATTTTCTTCCAAAGTAATTGTTCAGCAAATGGTGGATTCTGGGACAAGGATCAAGAAGGCAAAACAAAAAAACAAAGTAAATTGCAACAAACAAGTTGGGATGGGACAGATGAAGTGTAGCAGTCTGTCATGATAGGGCAATATGCCAAAACACTCAAAGCCCAAATTGAAGAAGGCTGCAGGACAGATGAAGACTGTGTCCCTTTGATGGAAGGACCCACTCAAGAAGACAGGTGAACAAATCATTGGCGTGGGCCTTGCATACCCCCCCTTCCCGTTGCAAAACTCGGTTTCTGAGTCATCGCACCTCTAGGTGGCCCCCTCAGACCCCCTCCAAGACCTCCACGGGGACCTAAGCCACGGGGTCTTTCCCCACGGCGGTCACCCTCTCTCGCAGCTCTAGTTTTCTTTTCCTCCACATTCAGACGTACGTCTCCCCTAAACACAATGGGCTGTGGAACAGAACAAAATTAGATAAAAAAAAAAAAGTTAAACACTATATTATAGACTAAAGTTGTGACATGCTTTATAGACTGAAATACTAGGCTGGTGAATAGTCTATAGTTAACTAGCCAGAGAATGTATGGATTGTGTGGCACTGTTAATATTTAACTCTTACCCTATTTCCCAAAATCTTCTGAACAGGTTCCGCATCGTCAAAAACAACAAAGCCGAAGTTGGGCAGCTTTCCTCCACTGTTTATACGAAGCTCTACAACATTCCCATATGCTAGAGATGGAGAAAATAATTAAAACCAAAAACAGAGTAATTAAACACATTGCCTATAACCAATACATATTTTGTGCCAAATCCATTTATTTGCACCTGAGGACTGAAAAAAAATCACTTTAGTATACTTTAAGCAGTTAAAGGGACACTCTTGTTACCAGGCCAACTGCTTCCCTGATAACATCTCATTAAAAAGAGGTAGGTGTTACACTTCTGGTATGCTAGCACTCTTCTCTTCTGTGTCGATTTCGCTTGGAGGCACTTCCCCAAGCGGAAAATCATCCATGGTGCCAGCATACTGGCTTAGTGGCCATCGCACTGGTGTCTGAATGGAGTGATATCACATCACTCCGTTCTTGTATTCAATAGCCAGTGCTAGCTAGGGAGTTACCCTAAAAAGCAAAGCACTGCATATGCTCTATCAATTAAGAGATAGAGGAGAAAACTATTTTTAAAGTAGTTTCTTCTATATACCTCTACATTTGCTAGCAAAACCTGTATTACAGTGTAGAAATTGAATTATAAGCCCTTTTAAAAGAGCTAAAGTTGCTTTTTCCATTTCCTTTAAAGCAAACCGGTCACGACAGATGGTTTGCAGTTTCCCCAACAATCTGGCTCAAATCATATACAGTTAAGAGTTTCTTCCCTTAATACTTTTAAAAGCTCAAATTTTACTCTATTTCCATTGCCCCTGTATCATGCTTGGATCAATAAAGTTTTGGGTGTTACACTTGCTGTAAGACATTCCCCCTGCATATCCCTACAGTAGGTGTTCTATAAATAACACTTCTGTTTGCTGTCCATTCTCACATTGCATGTCTAAAGCTCTTGCAATAAATCATTCTGGCCTTTTCTCTGCTCACAGAGCCTTCACTCAAGCAGGAATATGCCCAGAGGAAGGTTTCCCCAACAGACATGAAGAGCACAGTCTTTTGATCTCAGTACTGATAAGCAAATACTGAGTTACATGACAAAGGAGAAAAAAAAAAAAAAAAAAAAAAAAAACACGCTTTTTTTAAAATCAGGAAAATCTGCTAGAACAATGTGTAGATAAAATGTAATTTATTTTATTTTATAACAAGTACCTTATAAGAGTTTAAAGTAAACCGTTAACTGTTACTTACTTTGAAAGAACTCTTTGAGTTCTGTTTTATCAACATCATGAGGCAAGTTTCCAACAAAGAGCTGATGGCTGTCTGGGTACCTATTTATACGTCGCGTCTCCCCTTCTCCTGGTTCACCTTCTCTGACTGAAGAAACAAAAAAACAAAAAAAAAAGTTAGATCTAAACATGTGAAGGAAGCTTGGAAAATGATGGGGAGTATTAAAAGGCAGATGCTATCACAGCAAAATCCCAAACCTTGTGACAATTGTATTTACGACTCTGAAATTTATTTTTGTGTGAAGAAATTCAACCATTTCTTCCACTCACTCAGGAAATAATCATGCATATTTGTTAATCACACTACTGTGCAGTGTTACTCAAATTGTATCAAGGTCACATTTAAACAGAGCCAGCAAAAATGTTGAACAGTAGTTTAATGAAATGTATGCCCTTGTATACTTTTAAGGCATTGGCTCAAACATCAGATGACCAAATCCAAATAGGTTTAGTCTTAATTTTAGATGAAAGATTATTTAACACTCTTCGTTATAGTCGATAAGACGTTATAATACACTGACCAGGTCTAGGTCCTCGAGGGGGTGGTACTGTATTTCTCTGTTCTCTGACTCGTTGATCACGCTGTGGAGCTCGCTGTGAGGACACTGAAGGTTCAGATTTTGATTCTAGCCGAGGCTAGTTAATGAGAAGGAAAAAAAAAAAGTAAGCAATGTAAAGCTACAACCCCATGTTTAAGTATTAAAGATCATGTTATGGGATGAAAAACTAGAAGTCACAACAGAAGGAAAAATAAGTGTACCACTGTTCTAAACTATTGGCAAGTAAAATACAGAATACATGTAGCGGAGGTTACTAGCATAAACATTGTTTAGAAACAGGACTGAAGTTTGCTTTATTTTTAGTCCAAAAGTGATATTTCACTTTTAAATAAGGTGAATAAGAAAGACTTATCACTAAAATAAATTACACTACTTTAGAATTTTGTATACAAAGATGCATGTACACATGCAGTACAAAAGAGCTGCTTACCTGTGATGCCTGTACTTTCACAACGTGCGGCGGTATTCCGGATACTGGAACTGCACCACTTGGTGGAAGATTTTTGCTTGTTACAGACGCCCAAGAGAAAGCCTAGAAAGATATGGATGAAAAAAAAATTTTTTTAATTAAAAACACGACACTGACATTAGAACAACTTGTGAAGAACAGTGTTCAAGTTTTTTATAAAGGTCAGGCAAAAATGTTATATTAAATGGATGAAGAATTTTTTTTAAAGAAAATCACACTCCATATCCGTATGTGATAGCAGAATGTTTAAAGCAAGGAGAAAAAAAAAAAAAAACCACACCACCTTATGCAAATAAACATTGTGGGATGATAAACAAAATTCAGATTCTGCATCGAAATCTGCGATAGTGAGCCTTTCTAGATTTTTTGTGTGCTCCGTGTACAATATGAGGAAAGATAGTTTACCCTAGAGTCTTCTTGAACTGCTGGGGCCGGTTCTGCAGGAAGTGGGGATGGGCTCTTTTCCACCACCTCTTCCTCTTCTTGAATGGGTTCCTCTGACACAGGCTCACATTTCTCCTCCACTGCTTCAGCCTCTGGCTCAGGCTCTTGTTCGGGTTCTGGTTCCGGTTCCACTTCAACAATTTGCTCATCCACTTGTTCCTCTACATCATTGTTACTGGGAAAAAGAAAATGACAAGATTTTAATGTTTAGTTATATAAATCCATAGTGTTATAAATATAAGAGTTGCTACCATGGAAATCTCCCCCCCCCAATCCAAGGATGTGAAGAGGACAAGCCAAGCCCTAATAATTCTAGAACATTAAGTTGGTACTCTAATTATTTAGGACACAGAGTGGATTGTCAGTCTCCTGCTCTATAAATCCAAACATATTTCAACATTAGATCTTTTAGGAAAATCAGGTAAGCAGGTAGGTAGTGCAGGTGTAGAAAGCATAAAAAGTTTGACTTTACCTCCCAGGTTGTTCATAGAAGACACCTTCATCGGTGGCAACTACATCCGGGCTTTGTGGTCTCCCCTCTGGCTCATCCACATCCTCATCAGACTCTTAAGTAGCAGAAAAATAAAGATACATTAAGAATACATACTTAAGTTCTGGGTTGTAATTAAACGTTCAAAGAAGTTTTTCCTCTCGTTCAGGATTCTCCTGACTCCAGATGTTGAACTATAACTCCAATAATTATCTGGCTAGCAATTTCATTCAAAGAATCATGGGAGTTATAGTTTAACATCTAGAGGGACTGAATTTGGAGAACCATGCACTAGATGAAAGTAATGGTGTAGTGCAGTGGTTGCCAAACAAGTGCTCCAGGCATCCCTACCAGTCCGTGATTTAGAGATGACAAAGTTGGGTCGAAAGGTGTATTTTTTCTAACTGGGTAATCCCTAAATTGTGGACTGGTAGGAGTGCCGTAAGAACATGTTTGGAAACCACTGCTTTAGTGTTACTTTGGCACTGGATATGTTTGGGTTGACTAAGCATCAGATAACAGTCCACAAAGCATTGCTAGTTATTATGGGAAATTAGTCTACAAACACCAGTGCACAAGCTGCAAGTCTTTATCCAAATTCAAGCCACATTAACACCAGTAAGTTGTTCCTAAAGAGGAGGAAAAAAAAAAAAAAAGCCATGCTTTATCATAAAAAGTTACGAATGCTGAAAACGAACACTCCAAGAACCATAACATCCCACACTCTTTGTGTAAATTTTTAGAAGGGTTTGACAACAACTTTCCTGGGTTGCCAGGCACATGCACCACAACAGAGTTTTTATCCAGGATGAGAGCAGAAGTATTGACTGAGTTAAAGAAGTCTGCAATCACTGAGCCAAGAAGTGTGGCCCAGTGGAGCCAAATCACAAGGAGAATTCAGGCACAGTGTGCCAGTGGGACGCAGGCAAGATGTCAAACCATTTTAGAATCCTTTGACAAGTTAAACTGGGTGGGTATAATGTTCGTGCCTGGCATTTTCATTTAAGGTAGATGCAAGTCTACAGAACAAAGTAAATGTGATAACATCACACGTCTTTGAATGTATCAACAATGCAGAGTTCAAACATTAACTGTAAACTACAAATAGTCCCACGTTGTACTATAAAATCTACACGAATAAGCAAATTGTTTTTATCTGTAGGCTGTGACAGTAAATAAGACACTGCCAAAAGCATCTTCTACAAACTAAGCCCAGTCTAAGCAAAACGATCAAATATTTAAGTGCATTGCCAACATACCTTCGGGGGGCTCCGTGTCAGAGTCACCAAAAACCTCATCTTGGTAACGGAATATATCGTTATGTACATAAAATTTATTTGCCACAGAGCCCTAAAAAGAAGAGAGAACGAACATTAAGCTTATTGCCGAGAAATCTTTCGACAGTGGCCCCGCATTAAGTATTAGACTACACTTCACAGCAGTCAAAAAGAGAGCCTTACCTCTGGCGCCAAGACAAATGACTGCATAAATCTGCGCATAGGTTGTCTGTTATTGGAAAGCTCGCCCATGACTTGGACGACGACTCCATCATTAATTGTGGCATGAGCATCAACATGACGTATCTTTGTGCGACAATCTTTAAAATTCAGGGACATCACTTTTTTATGAATATCCTAAACATTGGAAACAAACATGCATTGGTTTCTAGAATACAAACAAAGTATTTAAAAAAAAAAAAAAATGTGATTGCGAAAACATGCTTACGGTTTGTCCATAGACTGCATCAGCTGGTTTGCCACTATTGTCCAGGCCACCGTGCACATAAGAGGAGCTTTTCCCATAAAATCTAGAAAGAAAAATAAATTTAAAAAAAAAAAAGCCACACTTTATATATTCCCCACACCCCCCTACATGATAAATGAAGAATCCAATCCATGAATCATGAACACTAGTCTGTGGTTGTGGTACCAAGCGTGCCCTATATGAGCCCAAAGCTCACAATCTTACATAGAAACAAAAATGTGATGTAAGCATCAGAGCTCTATATCCATGGATAAACGCAACACTTTTTTGTCCCAATAATAGATTGTACGATTTTAATTTTACCCCCTAAATGTAATTTAAAGTCATACCGGTGCAGGAAGTCGGGTGCTTGGTTGAGTAGCGTGTAATATTGGCGCACAAATTCCCGCCCGACAAGCAGGGGACTTGGCTTCTCCATAACCATTTCTTTACCTAGTTGGAATCTGTAAAAACAGAACATTAAAAAAAGTTAAAGAATAACTAGTACGTTACTATGGTTTTAAAACTACCGGTAGAAATATTTCAAATGTTTTATTCTTTAAATATTTGTAGCATACTTTCCACGGAGAAGGAGCATTCAGTCTGAACAGTGGTCTGTTTCTCGTTAGGGTAACCTTTGCAGACATTGTTAATAAAAAAATTTTTTTGGAATAGGTAATTCTTTAAAGGGACATAGACGCCCAGACCACTTTAGCTCATTGAAGTGGTACGGGTGCAGCATCCGTTCTGATGCATTAGACCTCCCCATAGGAAAGCATTTTTCAGTTCTTTCATTTGGGGAAAATCTGACCCTGGAGGTCCGTTCTGACGCATTAGACCTCCCCATAGGAAAGAGCTATTCAATGCTTTCCTATGAGTATTTCAGTGACGCTGGAGATCCTCATGCATAGCGCGAGGACGTCCAGCGTCTTTTTAAACACTGTGTGGGAAGAAGTGTTCTAGGTTCCTGGTGTCCCTTTAGCTCCTCATACTCCTTTGGAGTATAGATCCTGCCCCTGTAGTCTCACTGCTCAATTCTCTAACACTGAGGAATCTAAGGAAACATGCCATGCTTACTTTCACTCCATGTAAAAAGATTTCGCATGCAAATTCATCTATATTTTGTGCTAGTAAAAACACTAATAAATGTATAGATTTTGTGCAATACTTCATCCTGAAAAATAGACTATTGGCGTAGACCCTATGCCGGTGTGTATGTTTGCAAGAAAGCACGCCTACCGCTGACAGCTTAATTCTATCGATGTGTGCATATGTCACATGCATCACCGTTTCCAGGGGCTAAAGTGGACTAAGCTGCATTTTAACACTATAGGGTCAGTGATACAGTTTTTGGTGTAAACATCATACCCCTGAAGACTCACTGCTCAATTCCCTGCCATTTAATCACTTGTTTATTTAGGCAGCTCTAGCCACACCTTCCCTGGCTGTGATTGACACAGCCTGCATGAAAACAAAATGTTTTTTTATTTTCAATCAGATGGAACTAACTTTGAAAGTCTATAACTCCTGCTCTGTAAATTAAACTTTAATTACATACAGGAGGCTGCTGAAGGTCTAGCAAGCTATTAACAGAGCAGGAAAAATTCTAAACTAAATAAATTTACAATAAAGGAAGTATAAACATTAGATGACTCTTTATAGGACATGTTTAGTAGGGATCGATAGATTACATTTTTTTTAGAGCCGATACCGATAATCTGTGAACTTTCAGGCCGATAGCTTACCGATACTCTACATTTACCACTTAAAAATAAACAATTTCTACACAAATCTACTGTTAACTGAACATGGTTAGTAGTTTATTTTTTGCTGATTTTGTTTTTATTAAGGTAAATGCACAAACTATACATACAGTGGGTATAGTGAACGCAGGGTATAATGCGTATATAATGAATGCAGAGTGTGTGTGTGTAGTGTGTATAGTGAATGCAGTGTGTTTGTGCATGTAATGTGTGTAAAATGGGGAGGCAGTTTTTTTGGAAGGTAAGAGTGTGCTGGGCCCCCCCGAGGACCTTGGTCTGCATTTTCAATATCTTTATTGGCAGATACCGATATTGCTAAAAATACAGAATATCGGCAAGACCAATAATCGGTCGATCCCTAATGTTTAGGAAGGCTGTGCAAGTTACATGTAGGTAAGTGTGACTAAGGTTGCATAAATAAAGTGATTTGCCTCCTAAATGGCGTTGAGCAGTGAATATTGCAGAGGAATGAGCTATACACCAAAACTGCTTCACTATGCTAGAGTTGTTTGGGTAACTATAGTAGTGCCCCTGTAAAATAGAATAGACACAGCTCCAAAAAGCTCCCATTTTGAGCTTGCATATTATACTTTTTTTTATCCTGGGCAGTGGTTGGAATTTCACATTATTAAAGGGCTGCTATAGTGCCAGGAAAACAAATCCCGTTTTCCTGGCACTATAGGGTTATTAGGCCCCCCCTCCTGCAGGGCTGAAGGGGGTTAAAACCGCTTTAGCCACTTATCTGAATCCAGTGCCGATTTCCCTCAGCCCACACTCCTCCACCGCCGACGGGAGACCTAATGCACATGCGCGGCAAAGGCCGCGTGCATTAAACCCCTCCCCCACAAAGAAAACATTTTTCAATTTATTCAGATGGGGAGAGGGCAGACTTAGAGCTGCAATGTAAACTGCAGTGCTTTACATTGCAGCACTAAGTGCAAGAGGGTCACAGCACCCACACCACTTCAATTAGCTGAAGTGGTCTCAGTGCCAACAGTGTCCCTTTAAATAAGAGTTAAAAGCTAAAAAAAAAAAAAAAATGTAGAAGTGTAGAAGTTATACAAAAAAATACTATAAATTAACTTTATTTAATAAAGTCTATCTTTTTAAATGATTCCAAATAAGTAAATTCTTGATTTTAATGCATCTCCTGGCTTACTATTGTTATGAGAGGGCGGCCATTTTACCAAAGACAAAATTTAGAAGACTGAAACCATCCCACTGTGCATTTGAGAGGCCTGGTGCTTGTACCTTTGTGAAATCTTGAATGCAATCTAGCTCTTTATTACCTGCACAGATTTTAGTCAGATAACATGTGCTTCCAATGACTTAAGATGGCCACCCACATAAACTTGTGAGTGCATTGTTTTGGAAATCCTACATATAAGTTCTAATACACGCCATATCATACATAGAATGTGATGGCAGAACCATTCGGCCCATCTAGTATGCCCAAATTTCTTAATACTTTCATTACAAAATGAAAAGCTTTCCTATAAGGATTATGCACCTCTCTCACATATTACACTCACAGCATACAATCAAATACCAAATTACATGACAACACTACCCTTTACACAAACAGCATCAGTTAGATATCAAGTCATTTGGCACTTTTCATGCACGGCATGTTGGGTTATGAAACAATATTAAATGTATCTTTACCTTACCGGTTAAACATATAGCTATTGTTGAAGCTTATTTCTTCAAAGTGAACATAACTTTTCGTAACTTAATGGATATCAACACATCTAAAAATAGCAATCACTTTTGCAAGGCAAAGGCAAAAAGAACCTTAAATAATAAAAAGTTGTTATTTATAGAACACCAGATTACGCAGCAATATGCAATAAAATGAGGTTGAGTTATTTTATACTAGCTTAACTTTGTTAAATTATTTCAATTACTAAATATATGTGACCCTTAGGTTTCGTATTAAATAAAGGTAAACTATATATATATATATATATATACACACACACACACACACACACAGAGTATATATATTTTACAACAACATTTTCCTCATCTTCAGAGTAAGAAAGTCAGAATTAATAAGGGAGTTACACTGAAAATGCTACTTGTGTTGGTATTTTCCATCAATCTGGACAGGAAAGTGAAGATAAAATGCTATCTGCCCGATCTCTAGTTTCCCAGAGCTGCCCATTACGGTAACCCAGCAGCTGCCGAGTTGGCTTTATTGGGACTCCAACCCCAGGGGTCACCGAGACCCCCATAAATAGCAGCTCCCAGTGCTGCATGCTGACTAACAGGCACAGGTGATCCATGATCCGGATACACGGAGCCCCGGGCAATAGCATTACACACGGAGTGAGCAGGGCGCGGGCCTAGCAGGATCTCCTCTAACAAAGCCCGGAGGGGGAGCGGGGAGGGCTGGTTAATGGCTGCCAGGGGTCAAGGTGTGGACACGGCAGCGGTTACGGACTACGTTTCCCATGATGCCCAGTGCACCCCGTGTGTAGACTCGCAGGAACACGCGTGTCCGGACTGATGGAACACAATGTCTGTCAGAGAGGGCTCTGACCGCCAGCACGGAGAGCGCCCGGTAATGGCGGAGCCCAGCCCGGCTCTCATTCACTCACTGTACGGCTCATTAATAGAACCCCCAATACAGAGAGAGACACACACACACAGAGTGAGAGGGTAACACGGACACTCAGTCACAGGGAGTGCAGCACACACGGTGGGGTGACGGCGGTCGCCGTGTGTGCAGGGGCGCCCAGGCCGCAGGGCTCGCTGTGCTGTTAAGTGAAGGAGAGAGCGGGGTCACAGAGAGGATGTGGGAGCCGTTACACGGGTGGCGGTTAGAGGGAGAGAGGGATAGCCGCTTACCGTCTGAAGATTCTGTATGAGGCGGGCTCTGCGCTCCGAATGTTCTCAAGATCACTTCACAGAAGCAGCGGCGTGCTCAGCTACCGGTTACATATAGAAAGAGCGCAACCTAACCTGCTAGACAGTCTCCACCAATCACAGACCGCACTTTTAACGACTCGGTAGCGGATTGGCTAAGAGGCGTAGCCCAGCTGTTACTGACTAACGAAATAACCAATGGCGGTTATTTTTCTTCTCGCGAACACTTTTTACATGTTCCAGCACTCAGCCAATGAAAGAACGCCGTACAAAAAAGTAGGCGTGTTCCAATGACGTCACGATGCTGTTGGGTAAGAAGGCGAACGCTCATTAGCTGAGCGTATCTTAGGAAAGAAAAAAGTAGTGTGGTTGCAGCTGCAGGCAAAAACCCCCTGGAAGCTTGGGCGGGAAACCCTGAGTTGGAATAAAGAGAGGCGGGAATTCCAGCACTCCGACCAATGCGAGAGCAGGGATAGTGATGATTGGCAGCTGGGAAACGGTTTTCTTAAAGATAAACTGCCCAGCTGGTTAAGCTCATACATGGTCATAGAGCTGGCTTGCTCTCCATCAGTATTAGCACCTACTGGGCTGCATAGGCTATGAACCCACTCTCCCCAACAGGAGAGCATCAGGGGAGGAGGAGGAGGAGAGAATAATGGTTTAATAAATGATTTTATACATACATGGGGAAACAATGTTACTATAAACCCACTACATAATATCTATATCACAACACATGTAAAACACGCAGATCACTTTTTCTTGATATCCTATTGGTTATTGTAGCAATATTTTTGTGCTAATGCAGTTAAAAGAAAACTAGTCTGTAAACAATTATTTTTTTTATTTTTTTTTTAGAAATGTGCACAAAAAGCACCATAACCTGTACAGATTGCTTTGCCTGTAGTGTTTAAAAAAAGATTTTAACCCTTTAAGGACACAGCTTCAGAAGCTTGTCTTAGGCTTAAGTACACAAGACAATTTTTGCATTTTTTATTGTTTGTGTTCAAACGCAATTTGCATAATTTATTGCACCAACGCATATTATATATCGTTTTTTAGAGGGCAAACAGGGCTTTAATTTGATGTCACATATACACAGATACATTCTCATTAATTATAAAAAAAAAAAGCCAAAATAAACTGGAATACATTTTCACAGTTTTAACAATAATAGTGTGTGCATAATATGTCCATCTTACAAAAAGTAATTCAAAATAAACTCATTTATGTGTTTTGATTTATAGAATACATAATATGTATAGAATTTCAGCTTATTTTGAAAGTTACAGGTCACAAAATACAAGGACTAAAATAAAATTTCAATTTGCAAAAATTTTAGAAGTAGGTATGGTTTGTCTTGCAGGTTTAATAGCCATCACAGAAAACAAAATTGGCACACAAAAGTATATATTTATATAAAGTATACATCACAGGCTATTTACCTAAGGTTAGTTTGACACTTTTTACGTAGTCATTTCATCGCCAGTCTCTGCTAAATATTGGAGTAAAATTATGTTTTTTCTTTATTTTGGCATATAAACATATAACAAGGTTTTTGTAATGTGTATTTCGTAAAGCTGGTGTGTGCTATTCCTGCACAGAACCCAATACTGTATTCAGCTACATCTGCTGAGTATAACGATATCCCCATTGTATGCCTTTGGCACTTTTCTGTAAAGCTACAATGCCATATAAGACACAAGGCTATTTCAGTTTCTATAGTTAGAATTTTTGTATATGGATTTGATGGGCCTATATCTCATTTTAGGGTATTATAGCAGTGTGACTGTTCAGATAATCCCACAAAGGGGTATTATTTGATAAAGCAGACACCCCAGGGTATTTTATATGGTGTATATTGTTTCTTAACATGTCACCACTTTTTCACCAATTTATGTCAATGTTTGTGGTGGGGAAAAAAAATAAAAGGCCATTTTTACATACCGTATTTATCGGCGTATAACACGCACTTTTTCTCCCTGAAAATAGGGGAGAAATCGTGGGTGCGTGTTATACGCCGGCCCTTTAAATTCTGCAGCCGCCTGAGCGCTCTGTCAAGAGCGCTCAGGCGGGTGCAGTTGGTACTCACCTCCCCTGTAGCGTGGCCGAGCCGCTCTGCCGTCCGCGGTGGCCGGCCGGACTGATAGGAAGGTGCACGCTCAGTGTGCACCTTCCTGTCAGTCCGACCGGGTACAGGAAACAGAAACTCCTGTTCCGCGAACAGGAGTTTCTAACCCATACAACAGAATTACCTGCTGCCCTCCGGCACCACATGAGACAGCAAGCAGCTCGGCCGCGCTACAGGGGGAGAGGGAGGCTAAGGGGGCAACAAGAGGGGAGGGTAGAAAGGAGAGTAGAAAGGGGGTAAGAGGAGGGGCGTAGAAAGAGGGGAGGGGGCGTAAGAGAGGGGAGGGAGTAGAAAGAGGAGGGCTAAAAAAGAGGAGGGGGCAACAAAGAGGGAGAGGGAGGCTAACAAGAAGGGAAAGGGGTAAGAGAGGGGAGGGCAACAAGAGAGGGGAGGGCAACAAAGAGAGGGAAGGGGGCAGCTCAGGGGAAGAGGCAGCAAGAGGGAGAGGGGAGTAGAAAAGGGGTAAGAGGGGGCGTAGAAAAGGGTAGAAGAGGGAGGGGGAGTAGAAAGGGGTAGAAAGAGGGGAGGGAGTAGAAGAAGTAGGGGGAGGGAAAGTAGAAGAGAGGGAGGGAAGTAGAAGGGGGCTAGAAGTTCTTTATTTGAAATTTAAAGGACCACTCTAGGCACCCAGACCACTTCAGCTTTATGAAGTGGTCTGGGTGCCAGGTCCCTCTAGGATTAGCCCTTTTTTTTATAAACATAGCAGTTTCAGAGAAACTGCTATGTTTATACTGAGGGTTAATCCAGCCTCCAGAGCCTCTAGTGGCTGTCTCATTGACAGCCACTAGAGGCGCTTGCGTGCTTCTCACTGTGAAAATCACAGTGAGAGCACGCAAGCGTCCATAGGAAAGCATTGTAAATGCTTTCCTATGAGACCAGCTGAATGCGCGCGCGTGTGCATTCAGCCGATGACGTCGCGAGCAAGGAGGAGAGGAGGAGTACAGCTCCCCGCCCGGCGCTGGAGAAAGGTAAGTGTTTAACCCCTTCCTTTCTCCAGAGCCCGGCGGGAGGGGGTCCCTGAGGGTGTATAACACGCACCTCATTTTAAGAAGGAAATTTCAGGGAAAAAAAACTTAAAGGACCACTATAGTGCCAGGAAAACATACTCGTTTTCCTGGCACTATAGTGGTCCTTTAAGTTTTTTTTCCCTGAAATTTCCTTCTTAAAATGAGGTGCGTGTTATACGCCGGTGCGTGTTATACGCCGATAAATACGGTATATGTTGCATTTTAGCCGAGTATTTCTTACATTTAATATGTACCTCTGTCATAAAAATCCACAAATTATGCTCAGTTACATATTCTGAGTAAAACAATATGCCCAACGTATGACCTAGACACTATTTTGTTTAGTTACAGTGTTGTAAAAGACTTAACAAGTTCAGGTTTTTAAGTGTGAATTTTCATGGAGGGTTTTGATGCTTCCGTGTCCCAATTTGGAGCACTTGAGCAGGCTACATATTACAACTACAGCATAAAGGCATACCATTTCTTAAAGAAGACATCCCAGGGTATGTCAAAAAGCATATTTTGAACCTTAGCGTGGGATCATTTTTCCGCTAGCTTGTACCAAGTGTAGTGGTAATAAGCATTTTCTGCCTTTTTGACACAGTTTGCACAGTATATTTTACAAACCTTATGTGTGCTATGACTATATAATACTACATATGTTGCTCAGCTATGTCGTCTGTGCCAGGTATATGTGGATGTTGAAGGGGCATATTTGAGACGCAGCCAGTTTTTTTTCCTAACTTTGAAGTTTTACGCTGTGTCCATGTTCCATTTTGGAGTGGTTTAGCTGGTTGGTTATTCAAACTTCCCCACAAATACCCCACGGTGTATTCTTTAATAAATAGTATGTAATTCAAAAGGCATATTTTGAACCTTAGCGTGGGATAATTTTTTCTCTAGTTTGTTCCAGGTGTAGTGGTAATGAGCATTTTTAACCCCTTCTCGACACATGACATGTATGACATGTCATGATTCCCTTTTATTCCAGAAGTTTGGTCCTTAAAGTAAAAAAAAAAAAATACTTTTAACCTTTTAACTTTTGAAAACTAGTTTTTAAACTTTCTTAAAACTTTTAATTTTTTTTTTTTTTACAGATTTAAAATTTTTATAAATTTTTTTTTTTTACTGATAACCCTTAACTAGCAGTAAGCAGCACTAACTGTAAATTCCCATAACTCCCACCCACCCCAGCTAGCAAAATATAGTTTTAAAATATTTAAATTGAACCCCTAATGGGTTAAAACAAAAAAAAACAAAATCGGATAAGTATAATACTGTGATCTGTATTTTGATCACTGTAGGTAGTTATCAACCGGCAGGGAAGGGGTTAATTTTTATTAGGACTGGGTAAAGGGGGGTGGGATTTTTTGAAAATTTTTAACATTAACCCCTAGCTAGCCTAACACCAAATTTCCTAATTCCCCACTAACTTCCACCCACCCCAGCTAGCCAAATATTATTTTAATATATTTAAATTAATTAATAAAATACAATTAACCCCTGAGTGTTACAAAAAATAAAAGTTAACCCTCACGGTTAAAAAAATCAAATAAAAAAAAAAATCAGATCACAGTAAAATGTAGTCTCTGCCAATTGATCACTGTAGTAAAGTGGGGTGGGATTTTAAACTAACTTTATTAAATTTTTTTACAGGGGAAGCAGATCAGCAGTGATCAGTCTCCCTGCACTTCACACTGACCACGGAAGAGCAGGGAGGCGGATCCTGAGTCCCTGCAGCACATTTCCTCGCTCTAACAGCCGGTCAGAGCGATCACTGCGGTCGGGTGCTCCCGGTCTGCCTCGAATAGAGGGGCAGACAAGAGCGCTAACACCGCAATCGAGGCAATCTGGGGTTAACTTTACCGCATGATGGACCCGGTCCGTCATTCAGTGGGAAGGGGTTAAAAGGCAGTTTATAATAAAGTTCTGAAGGTTAAATGAAAAACACCAAGACAACTTAAGTGCACTGTAGTGGTTATGGTGCCTGTAGTTCCCATATCTTGACTACTCGGCCTTGAGGGGGGTCACAGTGGGGCATTGCTAGCACTAAAACCACTACAGCATGCTGTGGGTTACCTATCCCTGATCTAAATCTTACACCGTGTTAGAGGTTACATATGTATTTGTGCTAAACAATGTAGCATAAAATACCACCGGGGAAAAAATAAATAAAATTATATATATAATTGTTTTTAATTACAGTTTTATGTGGTTTCGCCGTTTGTAGTGCCCTGTACGGCATTTAAAATCATATGCCATTCACTAGCTAAAAGTGAGATTTGTAAAACAAATTAATCATATCTGGCAGTTTAGACAACTAGGTAAGGGGTATGTAAATTTTGAATCTCCAGGATAAAAAGTCTGCAGAATGATTTTGAGGTAAAGTTAAACTCAAATTACATTTTGGAAGTTTGCTTGCACGTTTGTGAAGATTAGATTGCTAGAAAAGAATGTAGCTATTTCTATCAATCATCTGGAATGCCTGTTTTAATGACTTAAAATTTTCCAAGCAAGTTGATGTTCAAATGTATTTGATGGAGTAAAGTAGTGGATTACAAATTTTGGGTTGGTTAGAGCAAAAGTTCCAGTCTTGGCTTTTTGTGATTTAGTTCGAATGCGAGGATCATGTGTAAATGTGAACATTTTAGATATATTCTCTAAATTACATTCAAAGAGCCAATTGTTAGGTTGTGTTTTTTTGCCAGCCAGAATGTTATTTTATTCACAGACTCTCAAATGCAGAGGCGCAGCTAGAGGAGGGAAACCACCACCAGGCACCTGGGGTGGTGACCAAATAATCAGCTGATCTGACCTTCAGGGATTAAAGGATTAACTTTCCCATCAAAGGCCAAGTAAACCAAGAGGGAGAATGGAATATATATATATATTATATATATATATATATATATATATATATATATATATATATACACACACACACACACACACACATTTATTTTTTATTTTTAATAGTAGTTTAGCATGCTCTACAAACATCTACAGCCCCTAATCTCCTCTACATTACAGTATCTACCGCCCGACACTACAGCCCCTATCCCCATACACTGGAGCTTCTGCCTACATTAGAGCCCCTATAATACATCTCCTTTTCCCTCATAGATAACGGTTATCCCCCCCCCACACACACATCCCAGCCCATGCTCCCCACACTACAGTCTCTATGCTACCATGTGCCCACACTTTAGAGACCCTATTTCCCCATGCGAGCACTAAAACTCCTACCCACCAACAGACTATTGCACCTACTCCTTACACCCAAATCAATTTCCACCCCTAACAGCCCCATTCACTCATCCCCACAAGCATCCTGATTCTTTACAACAAAAGCTTCACTGGCGGATTGTGACACGCACTGCTTATGCACTTTTGGTCTCCAATGCTCCTCTAAGAGTATTGGTTAGGACCAGGGCCGCCATCAGGGGGTGACAACCATAACGGTTGTCACAGGCCCGGCGGCCCTGGGGGGCCCGGCCCCCACGTGTGGCAGTAGAACTGCCGCTGTTTCACTTGCACCGGGGCCCGCACGCTGATGGAGCCTATCGGGTGGCCCATACACTTAGGGCCACCCGATGGGCCCTGTATCTTCAGGGGCCCGGTCAGCGCTGTGAAAAAAAAACCAACCGCAGTAAGTGCTGCTGGGAGGAAGTGGTCACTTCCTCCCAGCTCACTCCGGCAGTTAGGGAGAGCCAGCCGACTACTCCCATCAGACCCAGCCACCCTCCTGCAAAGACAAGGTAAGAGACAGGAGGGTGGCTGGAAAATGAGCTTTGTGTGTGTGTGTCTGTATTTCTATGTATGCATGTCTGTCTGTATGCATGCATGTCTGTCTGCATGCATGTCTGTAAATTCATGTATATCTGTATGTCTGTGAATGCATGTCTGTCTATATATGTCTGAATGCATTTATGTCTGTCTGTCTGTATATGTATGTCTATGTATGTATGTCTGTAAATGCATGTATGTCTATGTCTGTCTGTCTGCATGCATGAACATCTATGTCTGTCTGCATATATGTCTGTATATCTGCATATCATTATGAACGTATGTCTGTGTGTATGTGTGTCTGTCAGTATGTTTGTATATATGCATGTATGTCAGTCTGAATGAATGTATGTCTGTATGTATGCCATTATGAATGTATGTGTGTATGGATGTCAGTATGTCTGTATATATAAATGTATGTGTGTATGAATGTATGTATCTTTATGTCTTCATGCATGTGTGTCTGTATATATGTTAGTATGTGTCTGTGTCACTATGTATGCCTGTGTGTCTGTATATGTGTGTATGTGTGTCAGTATGTATGCCTGTATGTGTGTCTGTTAGTATATATCTGTGTCCTTTTGTATCAGTGCGTGTGTTTGTGTCTGTGTGTGTATTCCTGTGGGCGGTATTTGGAGGTGGGCCCCAGACCCTGAGCTAAGTTAGGGGTCCCAAAATTTCTGGTGGTGGCCCTGGTTAGGACCGTCATCCTGCAGTCGACGTGCGGGATGAAGAACGAAATAAATATATTATATATATATATATATATATATATATATATATATATATATATATATATATATATATATATATATATATATATATATATATATTTTTTTTTTTTTTTTAGTTACATTTATTTGCATTTTTCACACACAAATGGCACTTACACAGACGATATAATTGTTGTGATACGTTTTACTGTTTAGAAACACTAATATTTGTGTTCAGCGAAGTCTCCTGAGTATAACAGTACCCCTCATGTACAGGTTTTATGGTGTTTTCAAAAGTTACAGAGTCAAGTTTTTGAATTGAATATTGTGTTTCAGTTTTTTTCACATTCAAATTCACCAGATTGGTTACGTTGCCTTTGAGGCTGTATGATAGCCCAGGAATGAAAATTACCCCCATTATGGCATACCATTTGCAAAAGTAGACAATCCAAAGTATTGCAAATGGTGTATGTCCAGTCTTTTTTAGTAGCCACTTAGTCACAAACACTGGCCAAAATTGGCATTCAAATTAGTTTTTTACATTATTCACACACAAACAAATATTAACACTAACTGTGGCCAGTGTTTGTAACTTCTACCACACTATATTGTAATAATCCAAATGGAACAATAAAGGAAATCTTTTAATTATGTAAAAGACCATGAGTGCTACCAAACTTTTCTGATTTTGTATAACAGTTAGGTCTGAGCACCCTGCATATAATATTTATGAAGCAAGAAATCAAGGACTTTAACTATATTTGTATACTTTAGGTACATGACTGTGAACTCATCTATGCACCGGTAATTTATTAAAATTAAATACATTAGAAACCTCTAACTCATGATTTAAATATGGATGAGTTTTTAATGCAAGCAAGAGATTTTGCAGAGCAGGAAATTTACGCCAGAGAAAGTCAGCAAAATTTGATGGAGCCAGTCTAGTTTTGAACTACCTAGTAAATTTACCATAAATGATGTCTATTTTCAATTACCACAACTGCATAAAAAGAAAATCGACATGGATCTTCATGGCCTCTTCTTAGCCGATTATTACAAGGGACTGGACATCAGTCCTCAAAGTCTCATTGGATCTAATGTTAATATTCATAAAAGATGCTGAAAATGACCTAACTGAAATTAGACATAAAATCAGTTTGAAACACCGCATGCATAGTTCCTAGCCTCCCAGGAAGGGGTGAAGTTACTACTATAATTTAAAGAAGAATTGCTGAGCTATAAAATACGAATTGGTCAAATTTAAAAAAAACAGAAGATGGAAACAAAACTATAAGGACCATAGGGGGTACAGCTGGTGAACAGGTGGGCATACAACTAAGATTAGGAGACCAAGAAGGAGTATACACGGACCCAAAATAACAAATATACACATTTCACCTGGCAATCAGTCATCAGAGAAAGAAATAATGAAGCACCTTTTTTAAGGAGTAACAGGTGGAGGCACAATCACCCGCAGCTGCCACAGACCGGTAGAAAAAGAAGAACACGAAGAGGACACATGGGTAGAGTATATGTCCTCATGGGAAACCCTCCCCCCCCCCCTTAAGGAAGCAATCCCTGTCTTCAACCTGTATAAGCGCACATTGACGGTAGACGAGGAAGGCGTACTAAGTAAAGGTTTAACATTTTTGTCAAAAACTACACCACAATGTTTTAATTGGAGTGTGGAATTATTTCAATTTGGGAGAATGCTTAGGCTTTAAGACTACATTACAAAAAAAATTATAGCCAGGAATCATCACAGAATATCACTTGTACACCTGCTCGTCCTATCTCTACGTTTTGATCCTAAAAGTACCCTCTATTAAGACTTATTTATCCACAGTTGGATTTGAGATCATGAAAGTAATACAAAAGCACAAAGTAATACATCTTAATCTGACTTAAGAACAGAGAGAATCCATAAGAAATCTTGCCAATGATTCAACTATTGCAATCCTCCCAACCAATAAAGGTGGGGGTATAGTTGTAATGGATTATGTAGAATATGTCAAAGTACTTAAAAACAAACTAAATAATAGCAATACCTACATCTGATTGGATAAAGATTCCACACAAGAAGTCATGAATAAGATCGAATAAGCTAATTTTGGGACTTGGAGTTGGATACATAAATACAACACTATATCAATACCTTTTCATTAAGATACATAAAGACCCAGTGCATGCACCATAGTATTAGCCATTGGAAGAGTATGAGCTAATAGCACGTTGGCTCGATTTTTTTAAAAAGCCGATAAAACATTTAGATACATGTATAAAGGACTTTAATAGACTCTTGGAAAACATCACGCAACTCAAATTTGAAGTGGACCACACAGTACTTATCACTATGTATGTTAAAATGTAATCTGTAATAAACCCCCAAAAAAAAAAACACTCACACGTATATAATGCTTAGTGCCTTAAACAAAAAATGTAGGCCGAGATAAATAAATGTAGACATTACATCTTTAAAAAAATCCCCACAGTGAATAAGTACAAATCCAAAGAAAAGACAATTTAGATAATAATACATATATTCTACCTTCCCTTATTTTTTTTTTCTTTCTTTTTACATTTTATTTTCAAAAAGTGAAATATTGAAGCTCTTACATTTTCTGTATAAAAATGTTGATAAAGTGACAAAGTTTTGTTTTTTTAAACTGAAATTGAGATTTATCTGATACCAATGATTTTTTCTCTAGTATTGTAAAACATGCAATGTATGTATAGAAATAAAAATACAAGATGTTTTTAAAGAAGAAAATTTTGCTATTTTGGGAGTTATTGAAAAATAAACATTAAATAAATAAGCATTTTCTCTACATTGTAATCTCACATGAAGCTGGAATAGAAGGCCCAATTTAACTTCCATCTTTGCAACTAAGAATCTTCATTTGAAAACTGCTGCTTTAAGGTATGGACTGGGATTCAGAAGATACCTCACAGGATTCTTTCCACCTGTTTACTACATATTAATTTATTATTACTATTTCACCATTTTTACTTATAGCTTACTACTGTAATATTTGTACTTGCAGTTACCCTGTAGTAATTAATAATCTGGCTGATAGGATTTAATAGGCAAATATTTTAATATGTGCAACAAATGGCTAGTCTGTTCCACCACTCCTCCCTCTCCTCCCCCAACCCCACCTTATTCCTGTTTGCCACTACTAGCTGTAAATTCCTTTATATAACTGTGCATCCTTCTTCTTATTCCTCAGGCCCAATATAACTAACATCTTTGCAACTAAGAATCTTCATTTCTACTCTGCTTTACCTACCCGCCCCTCCTCCTGCCCACCTTGGTTCCTTCTAACTATATAGCATGACTCCTCCAGCTGTTTCCAACCACAGTCAATCACATCCTCACTCAATCACTGCAGTCACAGTTGAATCACCTTCAATTTCCTCTGCTACCTCTTGTGTCATTTCCCTATTTTACCTTTACATTGTAAGCTCACGGGCAATCTAACTAAGCACTTTGTATAAAAGTGCTTCAGTGGCTAGATATCAACTTACAGGCAGGGCCTCCTCAACCTTTTGTTTTTGTCTGAGTATATTGTACGTCCTCCACTTATTGTACAGCGGTGAGTAATCTGTTGGCGCTTTATAAATAGCAGTAATAAATAAATGAGAGAAGTACTTACACATTCACAGGAATATAATGGACCACAGGTAGAGTTTGTACTAGCAATATTAGCTCTAACTCTAAAGAACTTCAGATTTGAGAGGCAATTGTTCAAGCAAAAGGCGGGCACGTCCATGGGTGCAGCGATGGCACCCATGTACGCGAACGCCTACATGTACCAATTCGAAACTACATACATTCTTACAAAGTACCTTGCACAAATACATGGATACTATAGAAACATCGATGTTGAACTGATGTTCTGAGAAGGATTACTGGAAGAGGCGTATGAGATGGAAGAACCTCTGATTCTCCAATCCACACTGATCAAATTTGCTGCCAACATCAACAGGGAAAGAGTGCAATATTTGAACTTTGAGATCTCTGTCCGGAACCAAAATGTAGAATATACACTTGTCAGAAAACCAGCAGATAGAAATACCATCCTTCATGCCACAAGCACATATCCCATTGCTCTAAAGATATCTTTGCCAAAGGCCAAAGAATAATTAGGAATAACTTCAATTTCACCACCATGGAGAAGCAATTGTTGAGATGACAGATAGATTCCGTAATTGTGGCTACCAATATAGGGACTTGCAAACAGTGCTAAGGGCAGCTAGAGAAGGAGAATTGAAACTGTAAACAAGCACAGCCCAGAAGATGGTCTTCCCAATGATGTACAATTCAGCAACAACTAAGTTAACCAAAATTGTTCATTCAAACTGGAAATTATTAGCATAAGATGGAAGTTTGCCAGTGAATTTTGAAAAGCACACCCTATTATGCTACAAAAAAGACTAGTTTGAGACTTCATCCAAACAGATCCTCCAGAAAGTTACATGCCGAACACACAACAGCAAAACTTGGGATGTGTCAAATGCCTCGGGTGTGTGACCTGTGGGCATATGATCACCCACATACTGGCAACAAATTTGCTATACATCATCAGGTTACTTGTAAAACAAGCTTTACAAACTGTCCTGCCAATGTGGTATAGCCTACGTTGGAAAGACAGAAACCCCCTAAGGTGAGCGCATCAAGGGCCATCGTTCGAGTATCTGAATGGCTTATAGAGGTGGAGATATGGGCAAACCTGTGGCTGAACACTTCTTTGAAAGAAAGCCTGCAATGTGAAACTCTGAAACTGCTATGTTTACAGCTGCAGGGTTAAAACCTGGGTTAAAGTGCTCTGGGTGACTATAGCGGTCCTTTAAAAATTACTGAGAAGGATACATGGACGATATGACTAAAAGGAATGAGATGGATAAATGGGTTGTGAATTGGTGATCACATGCTGCGTTACTTTCCTCAATCCCCCAACCCTTTCCCTTGTTAAATCAATCCATTTTCATGGTTTATCATTTTACTAACAATCCTATAGGACAGAAGGAGACACCTGGAAGACCAACTAAATGTGACGATTTGTCACGATGTACAATATTTCTTATTGTCATTTTGTTTCAATGTCATACAACAATGTTTTTTGCATCTAATGAATAATGAAATAAAAAAGGACACTATAGTCACCAGATCAACTACAGCTTAATGTAGTTGTTCTGGTGAGTATAGAGAGTCCCCGCAGGCTTTTTAGAAAAAAGGCAGTGTGTACATTATATCCTAGGAACAACTCTAGTGGCCACTCCCCAGATGGCCACTAGAAGTACTTTCAGGGACAGTGCTGCACAGTGTGCAGCATGAATGTTCAGCATCTCCATGCAGAGCATTCCACATCGAGATGCATTGATTCAATTAATCACTTTGAAGAGATTCTGATTACAACAGCTCTACAACATATCAACTGGCATAAATTCCTTAGTGAAAAAAACACTGAGGATAAATGGAAACTATTCAAACAAATATTAGAAAGGTACATTTCTCAGTATGTACCATTGGGTAATAAATATAAAAGAAACAAATTGAAACCAATGTGGCTTAGAAGTAAAACAAGAAAAGGGCATTTAAATAATTTACATCGGACAAATCAGAGGCATCCTATATAAGATATAAGGAAGCCAATAATGCTTGCAAAAAAGGCAATTAAAGTGGCACTTTCATTGCCCCCTAGTCACCCCCAAATGCCCTTAAGCCCCCCATATTACCTAGTTTTGAAAAACCTTATTTTCTGCCTGAAACTAGGTTCTGGGCGCCACCATCTTTGTGTGGGTAGATGAAGGCCCGGTGGGAAACGTCATCTACCCACACTAGATAGCGATGTGAAATTCCCTTGCATGCCCAGTTAAACACATGGGCATGCGAATGGGAATTTCATCTATTCATTAGTCAGAAAGACGAATGAATGAATAGAAAGGTCAGACGGACAAACCAACACTGAATATCGGTGTTCGTTCAGTTTATTACAAGGAGGGAGCTACCGGCGCACAGCTCCCTCCTTGTAAAATGTCAAAATAGAAGTGGCAGGGACCCCCATAGTAGCATAAGGGAGATAAATCTCCTTAATGCCCCTACTCACTATGCCGCGAGTAGGGGCATGTCTACTAAACAGTGAGCAGCCTGTGGCTGTTCACTGTTGTATTAAAGAAAAAAAAAGCGCCCCTCTTCTAAAAAATGACCCTATGGTGAGGCATCTATTAACTAGCGAGCCCCTGGCCCCCACCCATGAGCGAAGGGTGGGGGCCCTAAATGAGAATGTGGGGGGGCAGGTGGGGGCCCAAAATGAGAATGGGGGGCCTATTGTCCTTCCCTCCAGCCCCCATACCTGAGTGCCAGGTGGGGGCCCTAAATAGCAATGAGGGGGGAGGGTAACCTATTGCCCCCCCCCCCGAGTGGTGGGTGGGGGCTATAAATAACATAAGGGGGGACACACCTATTGTCCCCCCATCCCTGAGTGGCGGCCCTAAATTAAAATGTCCCCCCCCAAAGGTGACTGGGGGTCCCCAAGCCCCTAGTCACTCCCCCCCAAATCAAGAATTAATAAAGCCCTACCTAACCCCTTCACACTAAAAATAGTGAGGGGGGAATAAAAGAACTAAGTACCTGTAAAAAGAAAAAAAAAATTACCATTTGATGTCTTTTTTCTAAAATCTTCATTTTTCAGCCCCAAAAAAGGTTAAAAAAAACAAAAACATAATAGCCGTCGAACTTGCCGAAGGCATGGTGCAGACTGAGCTCCGCAGGGCGGTGAAAGGCTTATAAAGCCTTCCCACGCCCTGCAATTTGACTCAGAGCACTCGGATTGGTTTGCTTGGAATCCAATAGGTCCGACCTTGAGTCTGCACTTGCTGCTCACTGTTTAATAGACATGCCCCTACTCATGGCATAGCGAGTAAGGGCAGAATTTAGGTCTTTCAGCCTTTTGGTAGATAGCGCCCTGATACTGTGGGAGTTAGGGAGTTATCTACTAAACGGCTGCAAAATGCAGCCGCGGCACGAATCAAATCGGAGTTTCATTGAATCAGATCGGAGTTTCATTCATTCAAATTAAATTCCGATCCGAACAAAGTCCTGAATTGAGTCCTAACATGAATTAAACTGTTCTCATTCTGTTATGACGCAATTCGGCAGTTTCGCTGGTGTTCTGTCTAAATGACAGGATGTTCGGGAAAAGTGAAAGGAAGTATTGCGGGAACACTGAGGAAAGGTGAGAATTGTGGGAAAACTTCTGTGACCACCGGAAATGAAGCACACTTTTCTCCTCTGCTGGTCAGAGATGGTCAGGCGTAGGAAACCTCCATAAGGCAAATAGTCCCTACATTGTCTTATGGTTTAAAGAAAACTAGAGCATACAGGAAGAAATTAAGTACAGATACTGAGAGAGGGAGAGAAGAGGAATTGATTGGGGAAAGGTAAGTTCGGCATGACAGTGCCACTTTAAAGTGGCTAAACTAGAAAATGAGAAATTGATAGCCAAAGAATGCAAAACCAACCCCAATTTTTTCCCCCAAGTATATCAATTGTAAAAAAAAATTATTTATTTTTTTAAATTAAAGTGTAGGTACACTGGAAACAGAGATGGGTCTGTTAGCTAATGAAGACCAGGAAAATGCAGACATTTTCAGTATATATTAATGAGGATCCTATGGCAAGAGATATGCAAATCATTGCTGCAAAAAACTTGCAGATAACTTGTGATTGGATGACTCGAGACAAGGTGCTACAGCAGTTAAAGAAAATTAATGTAAATGCTCCGGGGCCTCACAGTATTCACCCATGAGTCCTTAAGGAGCTAAGTGGGGAAATAAGTGAACATCTTTATTTAATTTTTCAAGATTCTTTTGTTTCAGGTATTGTACCAGAGGACTGAAGGAAGGCAGATGTTGTTCCTATATTTAAAAAGGGTTCAAATTCTTTGCCTGGAAATTATAGACCTGTGAGTTTAACTTCTGTGACTGGGAAAATATTTGAAGGGCTATTGAGGGATAATATTCAGGAATTCATTGGGAAGAACTTTGTTATTAGCAAAAATCAGCATGGTTTTATGAAACATAAGTCATGCTAAAGTAACCTAATTGCATTCTACGAAGAAGTAGAAGTATAGATCAGGGTTATGCAGTGGATGTGATCTACTTGGATTTTGCCAAGGCATTTGATACGGTTCCTCACAATAGGTTAGTCTTCAAACTAAAATAAATTAGTCTAGATGATTATTCTTGTTCTTGGGCAGAACATTGGCTTAAGAGTACAACGTGTTGTCATTAATGTTAAATTTTCAGGCTGGACAAAAGTGGCAAGTTGTGTCCCTCAGGGTTCTGTTCTGGGACTGCTTCTATTGAAATATTTATAAATGATCTTGAAATAGGCATTGAAAGACATGTTTCAGTGTTTGCAGATGACGCAAAACTTTGTAAAGTAATAAAATGTGAGCAGGATATTGCTTTGCTTCAGAGGGATTTGGATAGATTGGGGGACTGGGCACTAAAATGGCAGATGAAATTTAACATAGAGAAATGCAAAGTTATGCACTTCGGGGTCAAGAATACACAAGCAACTTACACCCTAAATGGTAGTGAATTAGGGATAACCACACACGAGAAGGATTTGGGGACTGTTATAGACAACAAATTAGGCAGCAATATGCAATGTCAATCTGCAGTTGCTAAGCCCAGTAAGGTTTTGTCATGTATAAATAGAGATATTTTTGCCAGAAGCTCAAGGAAGCAAGGCGAATAGTTAGCATTAGGACCCACCTAAGAGGTCTGCCTTGCTGTGGCAGGTGGGCTTACCCTCTCATGGCCATTGGAGGTAACTAAAAACCTCCATTTGTTTAAAAATACATAGGGATGTGGAAAGAGCACAGGTAACTTTTTTTTTCTTTGGTTTTTACTATATGTATTTTGGCTGATGTGTACTATAGTTATTGCTGCCGCCCAGGAGTAATGGGAGTTTGAGCACAGAACTAGTTTCTTTGTATTTGTATTCACTTTTGTATCACACAGCTAGGATGCAATGTTGCTGCCCATCCCATGTGTTCCCTATTAAGGGTAATAAGCATGTAGGGATGTATATAAAAAATACCCCTTCCTGTCTCAGAGATATTTTTGCCAGAAGCTCAAGGAAGCAAGGCGAATGGTTAGCGTTAGGACCCACCTAAGAGGTCTGCCTTGATGTGGCAGGTGTGCTTATCCTCTCATGGCCATTGGAGGTAACTAAAAACCTCCATTTGTTTAAAAATACATAGGGATGTGGAAAGAGGGAATATGGTTTTTACTATATGTATAAATAAGGGCCTAAATTCTCGGGATGAAAATATAATTTTGCCTCTTTAAAAATCGGTGGTAAGACCACACCTTGAATATGCTGTGTTATTTTGGGCACCCATTCTAAAGAAGAATATCATGGCACTAGAAAAAGTGCAGAGACGAGCTACAAAATTGATACAATGAATGGAGCACTTTAATTACGAAGAAAGGTTAAAAAATGTAAATCTCTTTAGTTTGGAAAAACAGTGCCTCAGAGGGTATATGATAACATTATCCAAATATATTCGGGGCCAGTGCAAACCATTATCTGGAAATCTATTCATCAACAGGGCTATACATAGGACACAAGGTCACATATTTAGGCTAGAAGAAAGATGTCATCTAAGGCAAAGAAAGGGATTTTTTTACATTAAAAGGAATAAGGATATGGAATTCTCTGCCTGAAGAGGTGGTTTTATCACAGTCCATACAGATGTTTAAACTGCAATTGGATAAATACTTGCAAAAACATAACATACTGGGATATAATTTCTAATTAGTGGGGTAACAGCTGCTTGATCAAGAGTGGGGCCAGACGCAAGTAGTCCTGCGCATCGCTGGAAAAAGGTGAGTAAATCATCTTTCTAACCCGAGGTAAGGTGGGCCGACCTCCTAAATAGTGGTTTTAGAACATTCATGTTTGTGTTCCTGACACTATAGTTTCCCTTTAAATATAGAATAAAAAAAAAAAATACCAGAGAAGGACAATTCCTTTAAGTGTTGCTTGGATAAACAATTTATTAAATATAGAATAGTAAAACAAAATATTTTATAAAAAGTCAATACTTGCAGAGTTCAAAACACTCATAAAAATACAGTGTAACTAATATGACCCAATGGCTTCCTCAGTTTGATAAATAGTGAACTCCAATTGCTGTTTTAATACCCCTTTGATTATCAAGATTGCGATCATCTGTTCAATGAAATGCATAATGCGTTACACCGCTCCTTCTTCACTTCCTGTGTAGGCATGGCTTATTTGTATCACTGCCCTTTTTCTCACTGAGAATCTTATTAGTTTAAAAGTGTTTTTTTTTTTAATTAATGGAAAAATTATTATTTGCACTATTTGGGATCATTCCAAGCTATTTGCCGATGTTGGAATGCAATCATTGCGATCTAAATACATATACATCAATGAAATATCTTAGAGGGATAAAAATGACAACTATATCTGTGTCTTATAGTGTCAAATGAAAAGAAAGGTTCTACCCACTCAAGACAGTACAACTGACAATTTACCACAACCAGATTACCCATAAGGCAACCACGACAGCCGTCAAGGACTCGGTGAGTGTTGGTCTGAGCCTGGAACTCCGACTGAGCTGGCTGCCCTCATACCAAATGGGAGATTAAAACATCTCCCTGCATGGCCCTTTAGAAATCATTCCCTGGTGGTTTATATTCTAATTATGGTCTCTCAATGTCCGGTGCTCTGTGAGGGAGTCAATATGAGGCACCAGGATTCCTAGCCTCGGCTCTGACTTCCTCACCGAGCGCCCAACTGGAAGGCCTACAGAATTACTGGAAGCACTCTAGACCACCAGGGAATCTATGGGATCACCAGGGAATGTATTATTGCTCCCCTTCCTGCCCAGAAAGTAAGCAGGGCAAATGTGATTTATTAAAAAATAAATAAAATAAAAGGCATTACAATTAGTGGAGATTGTGTTTAATACTAAAATAAATTCACATTTCTTTTTTCCCCCCCCTATGAAATATATATTATAAATGATAATGTATTAATTTGACAAGTCTAAAAAATCTTTCACAAGTTCTTTAATTACCAGATGGCATCCCCCTTGATAATGGAAATTGGTATCAACACCTATGAATGCAGACAACTTGCAGAGTTACTGTGTGTACTATGTACCATGGGTGCTCCCCCTTCCCTTTTTATTCTTGCTCTATCTCTCAATGTGTGTGTGTATGTGTGTTTGGTAGGAAAGCCAAGAATGTAACGGGTGAGGTTGCAGGCTGTGTATTTATAGGCTCATTTAAATTCTGCTATTTATAAAGAGATCTCAATCTGCCAGACCATAAATCATTATGGTAATATCCAGCCAGTGTGCAGGCAGAGACAAGCAGCAATGCTTTCTCCATTAAAACTGTGATCTCAAATTATTAATCAGTAATCTGAACCAAACTATTGTTTATATGAAAAAAGGCAAAACTTTAATAAAAAAGAGTGGCTTTTATATCACAAGCAACACTTCTTCCTTATTCTAAATCCATACTTGGCTAATATCTCGGCTATACACATGGTATATGATACTTGATGAATTCTGATGGTTATCTTAAATTTCTTATTTCGTTATGGTACCAATGTGAAGCAGTGCATTGAGGATATATCCACTGAGTGCTTACATGATTTGTTATACAGTTTTCAAGTTTAAAAATTTGGGGGAAATTTTAATTTAAATTCTATTTTTATGTACAGCGATTTATAAATTTGGCAAAATATTAATTTTATTATTTATTTCATTTGCAATATATTTGTACTGCTAAGCTTTTTACTTAGTAGTAACAGTACTTGTTACTTAAAGGAAGTGGATTTTGCCTTAAGCTCCACCCATTTGTCACAATTATCAAGTGTAGGAAAAATACATAAGACAAAATTGACCCTACTTTATGTTATATTTTAAAGAGAAATGGATCAGAAATTAAGAAAAGAAGAACAGATTTTGAGAGAGGAAGAGAAGAAGAATCAATGGAAGTATAAGGTAAGTTTGTGGTGGCAATCCAAAATAACAGTGCAAAATTCTATCACAGAAGCACGCAAGCGCCTCTAGTGGCTGTCAATGAGAAAGCCGATAGAGGCTTTGGGGGAAGGTTTAACCCATTCATAAACATAGCAGTTTCTCTGAAACTGCTATGTTTATAAAAGAATGGGTTAATCCTAGCTGGACCTGGCACCCAGACCACTTCATTAAGCTGAAGTGATCTGGGTGCCTAGAGTGGTCCTTTAAGTGTCTATGTGTGAATGTAAGGATGTATTTGTGTATAATGATGTGTGTTTTATGTACTGTTGTCATTTGAAAGCAGTGGTTTACTTGTATGTAGTGTTTGCCTTTGAATGTAGAGGTGTGTTTGTATGCAGTGTTGAAGTTTGAATGCAAAAGTGTATTTGTGTGTAGTGTTGGGAGTTTCAATGCTAAGATTTATGCACATATACATTTACACTGACAAACACACCCAAATACATAAACACACATTCATTTACAAAGACACTAACACACAATGACACTCATACAAATAATAACACAGATACGCATACAGACACACAGATACAAAGACACACAGGCACACATATACAAAGATAGATACACTGATACACAAAGACACACAGATAGCTACACTGAAACAAAGACACACAGACACAGATACACAGACACAGATAGATATAGACACGCAGACACACAGATGCATATACGGATACACAGACACAGACACGCAGATAGATATACATACAGACGTGCGCAAAATGACACGTATTAAGCAACCCTACTGTTTCCTACCTGCAGGACGGTAGCTTCCCTGGGGTCACTTCCTGCTGTCACGTCCTCCCAGCACTGCGGTATCACAGGGGCACAGTCGCACTGTGAAAGGGCTGCAGTGCATGACAGAGCCCTGAAAACACTTTGACCATGGAAAAGCTCTAAGTGCATGGGCCACTTTATGAACTGCCCCCGAGCATGCGCACCCACATGCAGCTGCACCATTTGTCCTGGTGGTAGCTCCACTGTTGCCTCTCTCCTATATGGCTTCCTGACATAAATTGGTAAAGAACTACTGCATAGGTTTTTCTAATGGCTGTCAAAAGGGTTCAGGAAAAGAGCATGTGGGGTCAGTCGTATCAAGGAACAAAAGTTCTCAAGTATTTTTTGGGACAGACCTGTAATAATGTTCTCTAAATCTGTGGGTAAGTCTATGGCGTCAACTTCATCTGTTATGGTTTCTTATAAACGGTGACATCTCTGCTGGGGTCCAGTGGCCATGAAAGTTACAGGAACTTGAATTTGTCCGTCCACCTTCCTCTTCCATCCGGTTGTCTCTAGCACCTGGCGCTCCAGTTGTTGGAAACAGTTCATAATATATTACTTACCTGTTAAAAAAAGTTCTAATGAAGTTCTCTTTTGCACCATCCAAAGAAAAGGATTTTGAAGATAGTTTAAAATGGATAACCACCTTATAAATTAACCCACAGACATTGCTGGGATGCCTCCATATCTAAGAGTGGAAACAAAACTGTCTGCACACGGATATCTTCATAGTAACTGCAGAAGCAAACACAGTGTCAGTCTGTAACTCAGGTTAGTAAGGTACTGTGAATATATTTTGTAAAGCCTGAGCAATTTGGTTTAAACATTAGGCCAAGTCTTCCACATGCCTGACAATAGGCTACCTGTTGTTTGTAGGGTTCACAGTCATATTATAATCTTGTAGAACAGGTGTGCTTAACATAGAGAATTAAAGTCAAGCCAAAAAACAAACAAACTAAAAAAATATATGAAAGTAAAGTATAATTTTTCTGGGCATTACAGGTGGCTCTAATTCACAATGTTCCCTGGAAATTCTAAAAATAGTAACTTGCAGACATTTAGAATGATTAAACACAAGCCAAGATCAAGGGTATATAAAATCAACAAATTGGGAAACAAGCTAGGGTACCAGAACTCAAGAAAAGTCAGTAATAGTCAGGTCAAAACTGCCTATTTTTGACAGGGGCAAAAATATGTGCAGAATCATATAAAGCGAGAGTTGTGTATTTGGCTTGTCCTGAATTGCAAATTCATTAGAATTTTGGGTGATTTGTGCAACATCTAAATGTTGTAACTCCAAACCGACATGTGGCCAAATTATGAATAAACCAAACTTGACAACAGGCGAGTCTATTCGTGTTATTCATGATTCAAAGTTTTGTCAATGGCACCAAAAATGAGAAATTATGGTTAAGGAATAACAACTAAATAAATAAAATCAAACCAAAAGAAATGCTACTTAATTAAACTAGGGCTCAGCCAGATCGAATGCTTAAGAATTACAACCGAATGCTCAAAAATGAATAAACGCTCAAATAAACCAATGGGAACCAAATTTGAATGGTAAAATACTGTTCTAAACCACCATAATTCGATTAAAGGGACACTCCAGGCACCGAGACCACTTCTGCCCATTGGAGTGGTCTGGGTGCCAACTCCCACTACTCTTAACCCTGCAAGTGTAATTATTTTTTTTTTTATAAACTGTAATAATTACCTTGCAGGGTTAACTCCACCTCTAGTGACTGTCTACTAGACAGCCACTAGAGGGCACTTCCTCCTTCATAGCACAGAAAATGCTGTGTGAGGACCTCCAGCGTCGCTCAATTCCCCATAGGAAAGCATTGAAAAACATTTTCAATGCTTTCCTATGGGGAGCTCTAATGCGCATGTGCGGTATTGCCGCACATGCGCATTAGGTCTCCTGGCCGGTGGGCGGGATCAATCTCGCCCATCGGCCGACGTAATGCAGAGAAGGAGAAGCAGCGACATGGGACATGTCATTGCCTCTGGTAAGTGACTGAAGGGGTTTTCACCCCTTCAGCAACCGGGGATTGGTGATTGGGGGGTGGGAGGGAGAGGGGACCTGCAGAGCCAGGAAAACAGATTCCAGTGCCAGGAAAACAGTTTCCCTTAAAAATGAAATTAAATTTAGACCAAAGTTTAAAAAAAAAAAAAAGAAGTAAAAAATTGTTACAATGCTTCAGGAATAAAGAATTGAGAGATGTGTGTGTGTGTGTGTATATATATATATACACACACACACACACACACACACACACACACACATATACATATACATACATACACACATACACCACTAATCAGACAACAGTAAATCCACTGACAGGTGAAGTATTATTGATAATATTGTTACAATGGCACCTGTCAAGAGGTCTGATATATTAGACAGGAAGTGAACAGTTAGTTCAAGGGAAAAAGATCTGACTTTTACAGGGCCAAACAGTAAAGGCTAGTGATGGGATGGAATTATTGTTGACCAATTACTTTTTTCCCCTTAAGGGCACATGACATGTGTGACATGTCACGATTCCCTTTTATTCCAGAAGTTTGGTCCTTAAGGGGACTTACAGCGTCAGTGCACCTTTAAAACGGCAAGTCTTGTGGGGTGTTACTGGTATGCAGTGGTTAGTACCAGGGACGTGTCTATCGTGAGGCAAACAATGCATCTGCCTTGGACAGCACTTTGCAGGGGGCGGCCCCCAAACGCCCAGGCAGATCCCCTGTTTGCCTCGTGTCCTGGGGGACTCAAGAGCTGGCCGGCTGGCCACTTTTGAGCCCCCCCGAGGCGGGCGGAAGGCAGCGAGGGAGCATACTCACCTGAGCTCTTCCTGCTCATCTCCCTCCGCGCTGCTTAATGAAGCCGGAATATGACGTCAAATATATATATATATATATATATATACACATATACACACACACACACACACAAAAAAAATAAATAAGAATAGATAGGGGCTGATCCAGAAGTCCCAATATTACTGGGGGCTAGTGGATTAGCTACAAAGGTGCCCAATGTTACTCTCCTAGAAGTTGGGGAAATAACCCACAGAATACAATATAGACAGGAGTGGACTATAAGTCCTAATTGGGAGAGTAGCACAAAATTTAAAGAAGGGAAGCCCTACCTGTAATATTCCTAAGTAAAAAACAGGAGTTTGTAGAAAGAAAAAGGGAGAGATAGAAAGGTATATATGCAATATGTGTACATATATGCACATACAGAAATATCTATAGATATGCAGCCAGGTTTGCTAAGATAAACAGAGCAACTAAGAGGGTCTAAACCTAAACTGAGCATTTCCCCAGCACATGTCCAAAAATCAGGTATATACAGAGGTGAAGGATACTGGGGCGAAGATAAAGGAGCCAAGCCCCAAACTACCCACAACAATCCCAAACCAGAAACTCAGATGAGGTCTGTCCCTATATCACCACGGCACCGTGGACTAACCACTAATGCCTACCTGAACCTCTCTCCCTTCATGATCGTAAAAGAAAAATTTAAATAAACCTTAACTAACCAAGTGGAGTTAGTGAAAAAACAAAAACCAAATAGTGTGACGCGCGTTTCAGCGTGTGTCAGGATTACAGTATGATCCAGCACGTAGAATTGTGTAACACAGAGAATAGGTAACGTATACCGGACCTTAGAATGGCCGGACTAACGTACCAAAGAATAGTCAGGAATAGCCGAAGTCAAGGGATACAGAGACACAACAATAAGGAAAAGCCAGGAGTCAGGGATGCCAAAAAACAGGGAAGTCACATGAAAGGTATTAGGAATTTTCAAGGAGGCCGGAAGGGCCAGAGAGTACGCAACAGGACTGATCCTACGAAGGACACGAAAAGGTCCAAGGAACCTAGGAGCAAATTTCATGCTAGGGACTTTTAGCCTGATGTTACGAAAAGATAACCAAACCCTCTCACCCACTTGATAAACAGGGTTGGCACCTCGACGTGTATCAGCATAATGCTTGAAACGGTCAGCAGCAGTACCCAGAGCAGATTGAACTTTAACCCAGGTATCAAGGATGGAAGCCAGACTGTCATCCAAAGCAGTTATAGCCATATCAGAAAAACAGCCGGTAGGACAGTAGGATGCCGGCCATTATTAACAAAAAATGGGACTATGCCCAGAGGAGTCATGGTCAGTATTGTTCCTAGCAAACTCGGCCCATGGTAGTAATTCGGACCAATTGTCTTGAGTGCTATTAACGAAACAATGCAAATATAATACCAAGGACTGGTTAGCCCTCCTAGCTGTACCATTGGTCTGGTAAGAGGATGAAAAAGACAATCCAATCCCTAATTGTTTCTTGAAGGCCCTCCAAAACCGAGACACAAACTGAGAACCTCTGTCAGATACTATATTGTGAGGAATGCCATGCAAATGGACAATTTCTTGTATAAAGATTAGTACCAGGTCTTGAGATGACAGCAATTTCTTGAGAGGAATAAAATGAGCCATTTTAGAAAAACGGTTCACAACCATGAGAATGGTGGTATAACCGTTAGAACTAGGAAGCTCAACAATAAAGTCCATGGACAAGTGGGACCATGGGACCTCAGGAATAGGAAGAGGTTGTAATAAGCCACAAGGGAGTTTATGAGGCACTTTGAAAACCACACAAACAGAACAAGCCTGCACATATTCCTTATCATCCTTCCTGGGGGAATGCCACCAGAATGACCTCATGATAGCAGAAGTGGATTTATTAATACCTGGGTGACCAACAGACACGTTGCCGTGAAACACCTTCATGATATTAACCCCTTTCCCCAATGTAACCACAAGGATGTAACAGTTTCCTGGCACTCCCTCTGGGAGAGAACTGCCCCTACCCCTGTATCTGAAGCATCAACCTCCAGTATGAAAGGCTTACTGGTGTCAGGATGTATTAATAGGTCGGCAGAGGCAAACCGCTGTTTTAGAGTGTCAAAGGCTTCAATTGCCTCCTTAGACCATATCGTACTACTAGCCCCCTTGCGCGTGTAGTTTTTTAGGTTCCATCTGAAACCCCGAGGCACAAATATTATATCCTAAAAACTGTAAATCAGACTGGTCAGAGATACATTTTTCCAATTTATAATAAAGTTTTAATAAGGTTTGCAGAACTTGTTTAACGTGATTGTGGTGAGACTGGAGGTCAGGAGAATAAATAAGCATATCATCCAGATAGACCAAGACAAATGAGTAAATGTAATCCCTGAGTACATCGTTAATTAAATCTTGGAAAACCGCTGGAGCATTGCACAACCCAAATGGCATCACTAGATATTCATAGTGTCCACTTCTGGTATTAAATGCAGTCTTCCACTCGTGGTTTTCCTTGATTCTCACTAAATCGTAAGTGCTTCTAAGGTCAAGCTTAGTAAACACTTCAGCACCCTGGAGTCTGTCAAATAATTCAGCAATAAGAGGAATGGGGTAGGCGTTCTTAATGGTGATTTTGTTCAAAGCCCTGTAAATCGATACATGGGCGCAACTCACCATCCCTTTTAGATACATAAAAGAATCCTGCACCAGCAGGCGAGGATGATTTTCGTATATGGCCTTTATTCAATGAATCTTTAATATATTCCTCCATTACACTACTCTCCTGAGGTGACAGAGCATAGACTACTCCATTAGGTGGCATAGCGCCTGGTAGTAAGTTAATGGAACAGTCATATGGTCTGTGAGGAGGTAGAGTATTAGACTGAGTCTTGCTGAACACTTCTTTAATGTCTTGGTATAGGGATCTCGGGATTTTGAGGTGTACTGGTGGGTAATTCAATAGTGCCCACTCTTTTGGGGACATGCAATATGCACCTTTCATTACTATCCTTACCCCATTCTAATATTTCCCCATTAGCCCAGTCAATGAGCCATGGGAATCCTAATATAATAGGACAAGAAGGAGATGCAATCACCTGAAATGTAATCTGTTCCTTATGTAAGGCACCAATGGAAATATTAATGGGTAAGGTTTCATGGTTATCAATGGTTGTGAGAGTGGTCTCCCATCAATAGCTTCAACAGCTAAGGGTAATAGTCTCTCTTTGATAGGTATAGTATTACCTTTGACAAATTGAAGTTTCCAGCAGCACCTGAATCCATCAGGGCTTTGCATGAAAAGTTATTTTTAATCAAAGGAGATAGAAATGTCAAGGAGAAACCTATTTTTATTCTTTTCAGAGGACATTTCCATTACACCTAAGACCTGTTCCCTTAAGGTGCTTAGGTGCGGTAGTTTTCCGGACTTATGGGACAATTGTTTCTCCTATGTCCCTTCCTACCGCAGTATAGACATAGGCCTTCTTTTCTCCTATATTGTCTGCTTCCGACAATCTAGTGACCCCGAACTGCATGGGTTCGGGTTCAGACTGTACAGAAATTTCAGGGACAATAGGTCTGGAGAAATGGGGTGCAAAATGCATACTCATGGGTCTGGTCTTGTTTCTAGTAGCTTCTCTGGTTCTTAATCTATTATCAATCTGCATGACAAAAGTGATAAATTAATTAAGCTTTTTGGGTAAGTATTTGGCGGCAATCTCATCTAGCATAGTTTCAGATAATCCCTTTTTTAAATGCAGAGATTAACCCACTATTAGTCCAGTCTACCTCGGAAGCTAGGGTACGAAATTCTATGGCATATTCCGATATAGACCGGTTCCCTTGTCTGATATGCATCAGGGCAGTAGAGGCATCATCCTCTCTGCCTAAAGGTTCAAACGTAAGTTTGAATTCCGTAAGGAACTCCTGGTAATTGTGTGCCACACTCCTATTACTATCCCATAATGGATTGGCCCAAGCTAAAGCTTTACCTTTTAATTGATTCATTAGGTAACCAATTTTAGCTGTCTGCGGGAAAAGATCCCGGTGAAGCCTCAAAATGATACTCCATTTGGTTAATAAATCTCCAGCATTCTTGAATATTACTATCAAAATGCAGGGGAGGAGATATGGAGATAGTAGGTGCTTTGTGTACTATAGCTGGAGGTAAACAAGGTGGAGGTGAGGCCGCAGGTTGCAGGTGCGCTGTTCGGGTAAGAAGCGTACTGAAGGCCTGGGCAAATTGATCCATGCGGTGATCATTATCCTCCAGTTTCCTTTCGCAAGCAGCTATGTGCTTACACAATTCTGCAGGACCTATGGCCATGTTGTAATGTCAGGATTACAGTATGATCCAGCACGTAGAATTGTGTAACACAGAGGACTAATAGGTAATGTATACCGGACCTTAGAATGGCCGGACTAACGTACCAAAGAATAGTCAGGAATAGCCGAAGTCAAGGGATACAGAAAGAGACACAACGAGAAGGAAAAGCCAGTCAAGGATGCCAGAAAACAGGTCAAAAACAATGCCAAAGTCAAATAACCAGAATTACCAGAATCAATAACGCGCTCTCAGACAACCACAAGGGAAACCACGACAGGGCACTGAGCAGGATGAGAACTGGGGCTAAATACCCCTCCTCTGGATCTGATAGGCTGTAAATCAGCCTTTGACCCCAAGGGCAGTTACAAGGTTCCCATTTGCATAATTGCTGCTCAGCACAAACCCTCCTGTGGATTTGTTTGCTACTCGGCACAACTTTTCCTATCATGACAGTAATGTTGTTTGGCACAACTTTTCCTGTCTGAACAGTAAATTCCATGAATCACATTTATATAAGCGGATGAATATGTGACAGCATGTTGTCGTCAGGAGCAATGTCTGTGAGCTGACGAGGCTGTCCGTTTATATGTATCCTTAATTGGCAATTAGCTATTGAATGTTGGCTGCTGTGTAAAGGGGGTGTGAGTTCATCTATTCTTACCATCTCAGTCAGGGTGTGTGATGTATACACCCTCCTTCAGTCTCACTGGGCCTCGCTTACTGGAGGCCAGTACTGAATTCCATGTTTGTCAATCCAAAACTATAAGACGTACCTCCCTTCTATTCCCATTGGGTGTTGCCCACGTGGGGCGGGTGTAGGATCGCACATCTATCTGTACCAGCCGGGAGGTTGGGCTATATTCATCTATCTCCCCAATTGCTGGCTGGCGAATCCGACTTCTCATCCCTCTGGGATGTTACACATACGACCAGTCATACACACACCCACATGAGAATCCATGTGGGTGTGTCAGACAGCCAACACTCCTCCCCAGTTCTCCAATTAGGATCAAACACTCCTTTTCTCTGTGAATATGTACTGTATGGACATAACATAGGACTAGTGCATCTCATATTTACTCAAATTTCAGGAGTCTTGCCACGAGTCTCAAATCTATTATACCTTCAAGGATTAGCTCTACAGCCCTTACACATTCGATCTGGTACAGCAATTGTACCCAATTTACCCCTCATGATAGAAGACATGTAGCGAGAAAATCAGCGAGTAGACATAGGCGTGCGCATGGAGTGTGCCGGGTGTGCCTGGGCACACCCTAATCCCCGTGCGCACGCCTATGGTTTGAGTCCTGCAGGAACAGCGTTCCTGCACTTTTTTTGAGCAGGAACGCTGTTCCTGCAGGCACTCAGTGTCCCCTGTTTCACCTCTTGCCCCTGTCATGGGAGGGCAAGAGGTGATGATTCCCCCCCACCCTGCAGCTCAGCCGCGGCGAGGGAGCTCTCTGCTCTCTGCTCTCTGCTTCCTCTCGCCGCGCGCTGATGCCGGGAGCCGGAATATGACGTCATATTCCGGCTCCCAGCTACAGCAGACAGCCCGCGCGGCGAGAGGAAGCAGAGAGCAGAGAGCTCCCTCGCCGCGGCTGAACTGGAGAAAGGCGCCCGCCCCCACTGGACCCCAGGAACAAGTCCACCAGCACTCCAGGTAGGAGGCTGGGTGGACATTTAAAAAAAAAAATTTAAATATAATAATTTGTGTGTGTGTGTGTGAGTATGTGTCAGTGTGTGTGTGTGTGTCTGTGAGTGTGTGTGAGTGTGTGTCAGTGTGTGTCAGTGTGTGTGTGTGTGTGTGTCAGTGTGTGTCTGTAAGTGTGTGAGTATGTGTGTGTCAGTGTGTGTGAGTGTGTCTGTGAGTGTGTGTGTCTGTGAATATATATATGTTATATATACACACACACACGCGGCGTATGTTTGTGCTTTAGGGTGCACACCCTAATGCAATAGGCTGCGCACGCCTATGCGAGTAGATGGGAGCCTGCTTACGTCTTGTGGCCTGGGGCCTGTCAGGAAAGAGAAGCAGACGATCTCCAGTTCCAGAGGTGCCCAGCACAGTTAAAGACTCTTATGAGTCTGCTGAGGCTGCGCCGATGTTGTTGGAGCCTGTAGCGAAGTGACATGAGCGGAGACACTTGTGGAGCAGTGATATCCACAAGATGGCAGACACCGCATGCATCGGAGATCCCAGTGTGAAACAACTCGATGTCTTGGCAAAACTAGACAGACCATTTGCCAATACCTGGCAAAAGCTGGAGCACAATTTGCACCAACTTATCCCCACTACAGAAGAACACACCCCGACAAATCACTCCTCTGTAAACCTTAGTTCTTGAAGCTCAGAAAGCCCTAAGATGGTGGCGGAAAATGTATGGTGCAGCACTCCTGAATAAGTCAATGTGTAGACAGTTACTATGGCAGTCTATAGCTGAAGCCTGACAACTATCAGATGAACTGAGGGGAGCCCATATCTTGAATGTGGCGAAAGCCACTTCGCCACTGTTTTTTGGAGAGGACCCATGGCTAGCCTTTTACCTTGGGATTATGATTCCTGTGACTTATTTGGTTTTAAAGCACGGTTTCTGCCCCTTTGGACTTTTAACTGGAACAGATTCAAACATGTGGCAGCGGCCATCTTAAATTATCCAGCAGTGTTTTGTCGTCGAGTGTATGGAACTGTTTTGGGCATGGGACCATGTGCACGGTGGGGCAAAAGTAAGACTTCCAGGAAATTCCTGAACCCCTGAACCGATCTGGGTGATTTTTGGATATGTTGTTCACCCAGAGCGGGGCTATCAGGGGATGTGGGGATATGTTGTATTTTGGGGTACTTTTTGGGGTTTGTAAAAATGTATATTTTTCCTGCTTAGAGTTAATTGAGTTAGTCCATTGTCTTCGTTAATTGTATCACATCTGTATGGGAATATCTGGATGTAAACCTCTGTTTTTATTGGCTTGTATGTTTTGTGTTCAGTGCCCAACTAGGTCCACCTGGGCTTCACCTTTGCTGGGAAAACTGTATAAAAGGTCAGTGTGTTCAATAAACCTTCTGTTCTACTTCACCCTCAATACTGTGTCATGTCTCTTATTGAGGGAAACTGCTACAAGGGATTGCTATGCTCTTCATACTCCCTTGAATAATCACTAGCTCTTCTAAGAGCTGTTCCTCCTTTGCTCTCTGAAGGAAGAGAGGTTCACCCACCGGAACCTGGAGCCTTGTCGTAGGTCCAGGGTAGTTGGAAGCAGACGGCGAGACCCCAACCAAGCTGCGGCAGTTTGTGGGGTCTGCAGTGTTTATGGTGTCCGGTGCGGTGCTGATGGTCCTTGGTGAGCACTAGGAGCATCCGCCAACGGAGGTACCCAACCGGGGTACAGGAAGCTCCGTTACATTGACCTTTTTTGGTATCAGCCTGCCCATGCATGGATATGGATGCCTTCAATATTCCCACATGTTCTGCCCACGGTGGGTATAGAATGAAGCAAAGTTGGGGACAGAATACTTTCAAATTTCTGGCAATACACCTGTTTTACGCTAAGGGACTAATATGCCCTATTGTTAGTTAATTGTGTTCTTTTGCCCTACGTTTCTCAGAGCACCCATGTCTTTTTTACTTTTTGGGGGCACCCAACGAGACATTTTGATAAATCAAATCAATACCATTTGTCTTGTTCCCTTATAATTTACTCTATAATGACCAAACTAAGTGCACACTACTTGTTCATTATTTGTTGATTGCTTACTCCTCTTACTTTTCTATACCTTTAAAATCTTCTGACATGTCTATACACTCATTTGCCTTGTCAGAGCATTGTATTGCGTTTTCTTTGCTGTATACTGTACATCTCTGTTTGCATAAGCACAACAAAATTAAAGAATTAAAAACAAATACAATGTATAGTATGTATTGTGACAAAACACAATTTATGGTGGAACAAACACATACTGTTTTCTGCATTTTGTTTTGGTACAGAACTTAAACCATTGCCTCTGTCCTTAACAGGTTACATTTAACATGTAATTTGCTATGTACAAACTTATAATTTTACAATATAAAAGCAACTTAAAAAAGTAACATGAACATAAAAACGATCTCAACCTTCTGCATTAACCAGTATCATTGATCTAGAATTTAGTTTGCTATCTTGGTTCATGTGCAGACATATCATGTAGCCATTAAAACCCTATAATAAGTTTCTTTAACCCAGCTGGTTTTTGTTTTTTAAACTAGGGACACATTGCAACACAGATGATCACTTCTAAACAAACTCATCTCTCTTTCGCCGCTCTAGTTTATCACTACATGCAAGTTAACTTTAACTTTTGCCATACTCTAACAAGTATACCGATCAAACATGGCTGCCAAAGTGTATTTATAAGAACAACAAACTAGCGATACCTTGTAGGGAGCCCTCTGCGTCATAAAAACACCAGAACAGAATGCACAGCAAACATACCATTTGTTGTCTGTAATTTGGCCCTCCTCTTACTTTTAATTTGATAATGCAAGTTAACAATTACATGTTATTAAAGCTTTTATATGGTAGAAGAAAGGTGGTGGCACAAAGAGGTACTATCGCACCCTGCCCTGGCACTTATAATTTTAATAACTGATTGTTGTCTGCACATTTCCCCATGTTTATTATATGCACTTTCAATGTCTGGGAGGAATTTTTGTGGCAGTGAGAACACAATTTTGGAGCAAACACAAAACAATGCAATGGGCACCCTCAGCCTTCGTGCTGTGGATACAAAGTATCTCCACTACATGTAACACAGTACTTTTGGATCTATTTGGTTCTAAAACGTATCCTCTCAGTTCCCAAAACAGGAAGACGAGACCAGCTCTGAACTTACAGCAATATTGACAGGAAAGTAAACTACATTATAACCAATCTAAAACATGTTCACATAGTACATGTAACAAATGTCCCCTATTGGGAATTAGTTGCTTTACTTCCCACGGGAAATGAAACCAGACAGATAATAATAATAATGTGTACATACTTTCTGTTTGGCTCTCCCATGATGATCATAGTTCCTTCCTCAGTTTGGCCATGCAGACCAGAAGATGGCAGTAGCATCATGTCCTATCGGCTGGTAAATAAAGAAGCTGCAAGTTCCCAAACAGAAAGCTAGTATTGCACAGCTCCACCTCTGCTCATGAGACAGGAAGCAGGGCAGGGCTTCATTTCAGCTTCCCTTTCACCGCCTTCCAACGTTGCTGTTCTGTATTACACACATACTGACATATCCTGCACAGCACTGTGTAAACCATGACGGTAAGTGACATCTGTTGTAGGAGCTACATGTAAACCGGGGCTGAAGCACAGGACTTCTGTCAATTACTTGATATGCGTGCTCTGTGCAGTGCTCGTATTGTGCTCATTAAAACATATGCTGCAGAACCTCTTGGCCATTAGAAGGTGTCAGTCATTGTCCTGTTATTGAAAAAAATGGTTGCAGTTTTCTATAATAGACTGGTCATTTTGATAATGTCTGTTTTTTTTTTATTACGCTTATTCACTAAACAATGAGTCACATTTTTGCAATTGTTTTCAATTCACTATAGTTAAAGGGACACTCCAGGCACCCAGACCACTTCTGCCCATTGGAGTGGTCTGAGTGCCAACTCCCACTACACTTAACCCTCCAAGTGTAATTATTGCAGTTTTCATAAAGTAGTAGTTTTCTACTAGACAGCCACTAGAGGGCACTTCCTGGTCCATAGCACAGAAAACCTGTGCTATAGCGTCTCTGGACGTCTCTCCAGCGTCGCTAAAATCCCCATAGGAAAGGATTGAAAAGCATTTTCAATGTTTTCCTATGGAGAGATCTAGTGCCGGCTGACATAATGAAGGGGAGGAGCGGCGGAGGAAAAAGCAGCGACATGGGACATGTCGCTGCCTCTGGTAAGTGACTGAAGGGGTTTTGACCCCTGCAGCAACTGGTGATGGGAGGTGGGAGGGAGTGGGGACCTGCCGTGCCAGGAAAACAGTTTGTTTTCCTGGCACTGGAGAGACCCTTTAAAGGTAGACTCTGGGCACCGTTACCTCTCCCACACCATTCGTGCAGTTGAAGTGGCTATGGTGCCTGGGGCCGGTAAAAGTGTATTTTAGCGTATTTTATTATTCACCGCTTCATTCACGTGTATTATAGTGTATTTTATTTTTAGCACAGGAAAAGCATGCTCTGCTTATACTAAAAATAATAAAATATTATCAATAATATCTCATGTTGCTCATTCATAACCACAATGATTATTTATGAGTAACATCTGCCATTCGGTCAGTGCTGGCTAACATCCGATACTCCAGCTGTTATGAAGAACAACCCCAACTCCAGAACACTTAACCAACCAATGTTTCCATGGCTGGCTGAGAGTTATGAAAAAGAAGCACAAAAAAGGGGGGGACAATAATAGGCATTACTAACTCTCAGGCAACCTATTATACTACCCAACTCTCACAAAACTCAGCCAGCCAACAGTATTCATTGTCACTGGCTGGCTGAGCATGATGACAGAAGTGGAAGACTGCTCGCTGGGTCCCAGATGCAGGCTGTCCATGGTGATCAATAAACCTGTGTGTATTTTTACTAGGCAGGACACTTAGATTTTCTCTTCTTTTCTAGTAGCTTCTTGGGAATTGCTCGTTCGGTATTGAGGGGAATTCTGAGGTTACATTTTGGACACGTATCTGTAAATGTACTATTCTGATAAATTCACCAAAGTTATCCAGATGTGTTAAAGTAGGAATTTCTGGTGGTGTACAATTCTGTAGACTCCCCTTCTGTTTTGCACTACTCATGTGGCCTCTCCTGGAGCAAATATCTTTATCCATATAGTCCACCTGCATGTTTTTAAATGTGAATTTACTAAGATATCCAACCACCAGTCTTCAAGTTCATATGGAGTACCCATGCAGGGTTTGTAAGTCCAAGCTTTTTATTTACTTTTTACTAAATATTTATCAACAGTCAACTGCTAGTCACTATATATTTTTTATGATAATTTGTTATAACCTTCGAGCCAACATTTTTTAAGTGCCACTAGCCTGCATTTCATTTAAAAAATAAAATAAAAAAATAGTTGGTCTGTCAACTAGAGGTAAAGTCCTACAAAAAGCCAAACAGGCTGAGATTAAACACTTACAGTGCCCAGACTAGATCGTCCGAATGAACTCCTGTGCAGCATCTTTATTATTCTTTTATTTGTGTGTGTAAAAATATATATTTTAAAGAATACTGTTCAGCAGCATTCAGTGTTGCTTAAATATTAAAAGTGATTTCTATTTAATGAAAAGCTAAATAATATCAAATATACTCTTATGTAAAGGTATAAATTTGTACTTTTATATTATAATTCTCCACATAATATGTATTACATAAATCTTTATCTCCACCAGTATTTACAGCATTTTATTACATATGATACAGCACATCATGGAAATGAATATCCCATTGTAGGGCTGTTAATAATCAGCTTGCACATTGAATGCTGAGATCAGATGTTTTATCTATAGCAAATATTGACTTGCTGCTGAACAGTGTTTTGATAAAGAGAACCCTTAAAACTGTTACTCTTTGCCTTTGTCAATTTAACGTTTTCTGACTGGTACACTTTTTTTTTTTTTTTTTTTTTTGTGTTCCACTCCAAAAGACTCTGTTTTTGGTAGAGATTCCCAGTAGACACTTGGGCAATGTAAGAATGGGGAGGGGACCCACAAATAATCAACAACTGAAGACAGCCGCTGTAAAGGCTTGGCAAAGCTTTACAAAGGAGGAAACCCAGTGTTTGCTGATGTCCAATACTTCCAGAAGTATTAAATATTGACATCTTATTTATGATTGTTAATTTGTCCAATTACATTTGAGCTCCTGCAATAAGGGGACTGTGTATGAAAATGGTTGAAATTTCTAAACATTCCATACAATATTTTTGTTCAACCCCTTGAATTAAATCTGAAAGTCTGCACTTCAATTGAAAAATATAAATTGTGTCAGCATCCAAATATTTCCTGACTTAACTATATCCTATGAAATTCTGCTTATCTTATTTTACGTTGTTACCAGTTTGGGCTGAGCTTTCATTGCATAAGCTGTTCTTGTGGATTTTAAGCAAAAAAAAAAAAAAAACCAAGAATGATAAATGGGTAGGTATTTAAATTTTTTTTTTATTTTTTTTTTTTATGGTGCATTGAAAAAAAGCCTGGATCTGCACAGTTCTGATGATCTTGCTGGTCTGCATAGAGCATATTCACAGAGTACTACAGAAATAGCCACTTTTAGCATGAGCATGTTCAGTGCATTTTTTTCCCCTTTGTTTTGTGAAGACTTTTCTTTGGTGCCACTAGAGATCGGACACCAGAGAAACACATGACCTCATCCAAGGATACCATGTCACAACTTTGGGGAGGGTATCAAAATGGCTCAATTTTCATTCGCCTTTGGTGAGTGAAAATTTTGCCTGGATGAGTATGCCATGGACTTGAAATTGTAAGCCATGGCGCCATTAATGTTACTTCTTTTTTTATTTTTTTTTTCAAGAAAGAAGAATTTTATGTTGCTATGACCTGTGAGGGCTGTTCAAATGCTGTAACACGTGTCCTCTCCAAGCTTGGTGGTATGTATTTATTAGTCTGTAGAGACTATTTATCTAACTTTTTAATATGTGAAACAAATGTCTTGATGGGGAACTGTCATGTATGGATTCTGAACCATTCATGTTTGTTGACACAATATATAAAATATATCAGCATGTATCTATATAATATCATATGTGACATTTCATCTTTTAGTAAGATTTACCATGATGCTGTGATGACAGAGCAAATGCAAATATTGGATAATCTCTAGTATGTGGGGAACTATCAGGTGTCAAATTATGTGTAAATGGAATAATATATATAAAATGTTTGGTGGTTTTATAAATCATGGTAAACCAAGTTGTCTGTCCATAATTGTTCTTACTTGCTTTAAATATACAAATTTCTGATTTTCAAGTGGATTATGTAAAGAAAGCAATAAATTGTACATGAGAAAATATATTTAGGAAAGTTTAAAGGAATACTGTAGATGTAATAATACTATTTAGGTCTCCTGCCCCCTTGCCTTGCCTTTAAAAGGTGAGTTAACTTGGATTTAATCCCGCAACACTCCACCTCCTTAATGGGTCCAAATGCACATATTCACATTGGGGAACCTAACAACAGGTCTAAAAATTGCTCAATGGATCAAACCAAAAAGAGGAAACGTGCATCTACTGGTAAAACAAAAGTATGGTCCGCGCACTCAAGAATCACTTGTGCAACAGAATTATTGGAAAACAGAACAAAAGGGTAGCTTTTTGTTCTCCACAGAGATCTTTTTCAAGCTACATATGTTTGTATTTTACTGAAAGTTGCACTTTTATTCCAATAAATATGCTGCACAAGTGATACTTAAGTGCCTGGCCCATAATTTTGTTTTACCAGTGGATGCACCAGGACCAGTCTTTAAGGGCGTTTTCCTCTTTTTGGTTTGATCCAATTTTTAGACCTTTTTTGGTTACCAAATGCGAGTATGTGCATTTGGACTCATTATATTGATATGGTATATTTCCCTTAGGGCTGAGTCAGCGCAATATGATCACCATTGGACATGTGATGGCCAACAAAGGTGACCCAAACAATTTTGTGAGTCTGAATATATGGTTGGCATCGGCCATTTTGTATTGCTACATGATAAAATCCACTAAAAATACTAAACTATTTGGTAACTGTTCATTTAAAAGCATTGCAAACTATTCAGATTTTTATATCCATCTCAGTTGTCATCAGGTCTAGCAGCATAGGGCATCATTCTCTGACTTGAATTTCAACATAGTTTGTCTTTAGTGTAAAACGCTCATTGCTTAATTCTCTTCAAACATTGATAGGGGAATGTAAAGCTGTTATAAAACTCTGTTCCCTATGGATTTTATCATAAAAATAGGTTTATCACCATAGGAACATTAATTCCGTAACGATTGACAAAAGATAATAACATGGGATTTTGCAGAGTGTTGGTAACCAGATACAACTCATTGCCTTACAATGTTTACTTTACAAAAAAACAAACAAAAGCTATCATCATTAATAATTAATTAAACTTTAATTCACAAATAGGCATAGTCACATGTTTTATTAGTAAGACCCTCTCAACCCCAACCCTAGTTATATTTACAGACTTGTCAAAATTAACCCCCACAGTAACTGGGTATGCCAACAAATAAGCAGGTGTGGAATATGGAACAGGAACCTGG